AAATAAATGCACACAAACAAAGCAACAATAATAATAACAATAATAAACCCAGCAAGGTGACACTTGTGTTAGGATCCCAAATTCACACTCTCCCAAATGTACCAAGTAGAGAGAACAGGTTACTAAGGCATAGCTGCTGCCTGTTTAATACGTAGGATGCATACATGCGGCGTCCAGAGGAGGAGGGCAAAGTACAGTGTCCACCACGGTTAGCTCTGCACAGTCACAGAGGACTATGAATTTACCACTTAGGCGTTACAAACACAGCCCAGGTCAAACACCAGTGCCAGAGGACCTTTCTCGCCCTCCACCCCTCTTCCTGGCTCTTTGATTCTGAGTGTGCCTTGAGGGTGTGCTGTTACTGGGAAAGCTAAGTATTAGTCCAGCTTAGACACACAGTATCAGTTAGTTATTTGTAGCAACTGAAGGGAGAGGTTTACTTGGCTCATAGAGAGAGGTTTACTTGGCTCACAGTGGGATCCCTCCCCAGGGGAGGCATGGCAATAGACATCTCCACAGCAGTGGCAGCTACTAGCTATATCTCAGTGGGCTGAAATCAGACAGGAGAGGGGGTAGAGCATAAACCTTAGGCCTTCCCTAAGATGTACCCAGCACATGCTGCACAGATTGGGTGCTAGGCAAGGTAAGGGCTGGTAGAGAAGTTGGCACAGACTCCGCCTTCTCCATCCCCAGTGGCATGATTTCAACTGTCTTTTGTGCAGTGGAAGAGGGGTATCCAAACTAGCCACAGCAACTGCCCAACTGAGTTCTGAGTTCTTATGTTCAGTTCAACAATTTGTACTTGCCTGACTAAACTCTTCAAAACGTGGGCAAGGACTTGGAATTGAGGAGCATATTCCAGCCGCAACTTGCAGAGGGTCTGTCCTCTGTAATTGTCATCACCGTAGGGTCAGTTAGGACCGGTGAGCAGGCCCAGGTGTCTGCAAATGCTACCCAAACCACCTTAACCAGATTAGATTCTCTCAGCTTCTCTAGATTACACCCCTCCTGAGAGAACCCACAACTCACAGGTCGGGCAAGACCCAGTAAGTGGGCAAGGCAGGGCCCCCTCTGCTCTCTTCACACTGTAGACATCACCGGCCCAGATGGCCTATGTGAGCTGCAGCAGGGGCAGGGGTTAGGGGCACCACAGAGTGGTGATTTTAATTAAGGCTTTCATGGACACTAGTTTATCAGTATAAAGAGATGAGAGGAAAGGTGACACAAGCAGCAAAGAACACGTTCTAATTTTAATTAAATTAAATTAAAAGGTTATTTTCTATCTGTCCTCCAAAGCAGACTGCAAAGCGCAGAGAGCATTCCTGCCCACCTCCACACGGGTGGTCGCCCCCACTCTAACAAGTCTCACACCTCTCAGCTGTGCCTCACCCCACCTCACACGCTGGGAATCCTGCCTCAAAGCTCAACACCAACTCTTCTCGGCCCTGAAGCCCTCACTGTTCCGTCTGCCTCATCCCGCAGCAGCCTTACGCGTACAGCCTCTGTGCACTCGGAGCCCAGCTTGTAAAATCTTGTTTTAAGGGTGTTCCACAGCCAGCTGCTCTTCTGGGCCATCCCTGAAAGGCAGACTCTAAATGTGGCCTGTTTCTACATTCTGTTGCCAACCACCGGCAGGTTGCACAACTGAATCAATAAACACCTGATTGTGCCCAAGTCGGTCACCTTTCAGTCACTCAAAGAATGTTTGTAAAGTGGCTTTGATATACTGTGCCATAGGGATGGATCAAGAAAAGACTAAGTACCTAGCAGGTGAGACAGCCACAGACAGGCTATGTGACAAGAGTACTCCAGACCACAGTGGGAAAGGTAGGACTAGGTCACATGGCCATGCTGGGAGCTGTCAGGTCCTGGCTGTCCTCCCTGGCAGTGGTGGTCAAACTGCTTGCTTCATTTAAGTGGCCCCACTACCTCTGCTTGTCTTATTTAAGGTTTCTATTACTCCACTAAACACCATGACCAAAAGCAACTTGGGAAAGAAAGGGGTTATCAGTCATGTCACTGAGGGAAACTCAGGGCAGAAAATCAGGACAGGAACCCGGAGGCAGGAACTGAAGCAGAAGCCATGAAGAAGTGCTGCTTACTGGCTTGCTCCTCTTGGCTTTCTCTTATACCCCAGGACCACCCACCCAGGGGTAGCACTGTCCAGTAACCTGGGCCCTCTCACATCAATTATCAGTCTGATGGGGGCATTTTTTTTTCAATAGAGGTTCCCTCTTCCCAATAATTCTAGCTTGTGCAAGTTTTCATAAAATTAGCCAGCACCCTGGGGTTATTATAATTTTTATTCTCATCTTTTTTTTCTTTTTTTTCTGGTTTGGTTTGCCCTTGATGTCACAGAGTTAAACTGCACAAAATCAATCACTGATCATGAACACTGATCTTCTAGGACTTCTGTTGGGTTCATCCCACAAACCTGTCTTCCCCTTGAAACTCCTGAGCCCTTCTGAAGGCAAGGGAACCCACCTGAGAGTTCACCTAAGCACCAGCCAGCCTGGTCCTCAGAGTTCCCACCCCCTCATCCTGAAATCATACTGATGCAAGATGTCACAGGTTAACAGATTAGGATCCAGATGAATGGCAAACTCCCACAGGCAGGGAGAGGACCACACCTCAGCATCCTTTCCTAGTCCCCACACTGCACAGCTGTGCTCATACACAGCAGAAGCAGAGCCATGCTGCTGGCTGAGCCCACTCTCCATGGCCCTCAAGATGCCTCTCACACAGCACATCCACCTGGAGCCACAAAACAGACACAGGTGCCTCAGGAACCCTCTGGTTGGGACTTTACAGAAATCATCTCCTTCCTCCCTGCTGGGCCTCTGCCCAGACTGGACATCCAAGACTTGCTTCTTCAGCACAGGGACATTTCCTCCCGGGGTCTTGAGGCCTGGCACTTGGTTCAGCCCACAGCTAGAAGTCAGAAACTATCATCAGGACCCAAGTGACATTGTGGTTTTCCTTTCAGCAGAACTCTCCCTGCCCAAGAACCAGGAAAACCAAAAGCTCACTTTGCACCGTTCCTTCAGCAACTTTCTGCCACACTGACCCGCCATGCCCTTTCCTAACCAAGCCTTACCTCAACTCCAGTTTCCACCAGTCTGCTCATGCAGGTCTACATACACCCTTTATGTAAGCCCACTCTCTTCTCTGCACAGCCTGTTAAAATCCAGGCACCAAGGAGCTTCCTACTGCTCACCCCACTCTCAGGACCCCTCATCTTCTTCCTCCACTCATCCCTCACCCACACACAAGACCTCAACTGATGCCCAGCGCAGGACATTCACTTGCTCAGATCCTCCCTCTCTCCTCCTCCATCCATTACCTATGTGCCCTCACAGTTACTGAATGCTATTGTCAGCCAGTCTGTCAATCAATAGCCTCCCAATCCCAAGCGAGTAAGCATCTGCCTTTCTGTGGTGATCTGACCCAGGCCCACATACCCTCAGCTCCTGAAGTGCCCATGGAAGCCCATGCTCGTGGCTGGCACAGCACTTCCAGCTTCCCTCCAGGAAGCAGGTAACTGTCATCTAAAAATGTTGGCAACAGTCTCACCTGGGCTTATCCACACTCCACCCACCCTGGCACAGGCATTCAGCAAGGTCCTGCCTCACCTGCAAATGCTGTTAGTTACTTGCCTGCAATTCACACACTCAGGCTATGAAAGTCAGGACAGCCAGCAAATAAGACCACTCATTCTGCCTCATGGTCTCGCCCCAAACACCAGACTTGGAATCCCACATAACTATTAAGCCGAAATGAAAATTTATGTGAAGGGGAATAGGTCATTTCTTCATCTTTCATTCATTCATAGCAAGGTCTAGATGGACCTCTCCTACTTCCAAGGGCAGTTACTCTCCACCACACAAAACCCTAAGAACTCAACTATCATTTCAAGGCAAAACAGTGAAATGGCACACTGTACGTGGAACGCTTGTCTTTACATTCTCCCTGGAGCCACTCAGGAACTTGTTTGGTACGATATTTTAGATGACTGCACAATTACTGGGGAGAGCGGTAGAAGGAGCCGTGGGGTGGGGGGCGCAGGTCTAAAGGCAACAGGCTGAGTGTAAATTCAAAGCCACAAATATGGGGCAGGGGAGACAAAGGAACTGGAAGATGCCAGGAACGTCAACAGAGGTACCCAGGTAGCGCATAGGCAAATAAGGCTTCAGACACAAAATCTGGTACGACCGGAGTGGCGAAAATATCCCGGCCTCTCAGCAGGCCCTGCCAACCCCAGACAATGCCAGCCTAACCCAGGCTGCCCCTACGCCCCCCGGGCCTCACCGATGGAGATCTCCTGGGCGAAGGCCAGCGAGATGAGCAGCAGAGGCAGACCCACAGCAATGCACGTGACCATCTTGTCCACCGCCAGCTCCAGCCGCAGCCCCTTGAACTTGGGTTCCGTGGGCTCCTTCAGCAAGAAGTCTGAGAACACGTACTCCGTGGCCAGGTGGGCGATGGCCATGGTCACGGCGCGCCGGGTGCAGCGGGACCGGCAGCCAAAAGCAGGCGCGGATGCAGCAGGGACTAGGGGCTGAGTGCTCGCAGTCACCGACAGGGCGCGCGGCTTCCGCTTTCCCTTCCCGGGCTCCCGGGCGGGCCCCGCATCGCACCGCCTCGGCCGCCGCTGCGCCCACCTCGCAGGGACCGCACGAGAGCCGCAGCTGCCTCGGACCCCCCCCCCCCCGAAGCTACGCAGGGCGCACGAGCTCCAGAGCTCCGGCTGCAGCGATCGCACCGGGTGCTCAGCCCCCGCGCGTCCCCGGCGTGCGCGACACCAGGACTCCGGCCTCTCGGGGCGCGCAGGGCAACAACGCGCCGGGAACAAAGCACACAGCGCCCGCTCTGCACGCTGGGCTCCGGGAACCGACCTTTTCCGGAACCTCCGCGGGAAAACGGGGCTCGGCGAGCAGTTTCCGGAAGCGCGCTGACGCGGGCGGGAGTGGGCGCGGCCGCACCGCGACCCTTGAGTCCGGACTGGGGAAAAATAGCCCCGCCCTGTCTCCCTGAGGACAGCCTCGGCCCTCCCATCCCTAGGCCCTCAAGTCTTAACACATAGGATTTTTTTTTTTTTCCAATCCTTTCTGCTGGCAGCCCCTTCCCCTGAGCGCGAGGTACCCCCTTTCTAAGCCTCGCCCACCATTGTGTGGCCGTGGATGCTGAAGATGAACCCATCTATGTCTTGTGCACCTCTACCGGCTAGACAAGCGCTCTACCACAGCGCCTCACCCGAGCATGCAATCGAGGTTCTGTAAAAACAAAACAAAAACAAGGACCAGCTGGTGCATACAAAGGTCGAGAAAATCCTGCGGTGGTGACCGAGAAAGTATGTTGTAGAGGGGGCCCTGCATCTTTCCAGAATTCTATAAGGGGGTGTGGGGGATGAGAGCAGTGAGTGGTTTCCGGCCCAGCCCTTTGCGCTTTCCTCTACCTTCCTGACCAAGGCAGTGGCCAGGGCAGCAGAGGCCTACCAACAGGTGGGCGTATGGTGTTGGGAGCTACAGAGAGCTGCTTCTGAGTACCTCACTGGAAGTAGATAATGAGGCAATCAAAACATGCTGGAACCATTTGCTGCAGCCGGCCTTGGAAGGTGAAGGTGCAGAGCATCCTTCTAAGGATGGTCCAAGAGCCACAGGAATCTCTCCACCAGAATAGTCCTCTAAGGACCATAGAGACCCCCACACTCCTGCACTGATGAAGCTCACAGTCAATCCTTACTGCAAACCTCAGCTGCTGTCTTCTACGTTTCCCTAACCCTTGTTGGCGCTGGCACCCTAGGTAGAAGCCTGGAATTCTATTTTTAGAGTTTCCATCACTCTTGACAGCTGCCCCAACAAATTCTGGATTTTTGTGCTTCTCTTTTCTAAATATGGCCGACCTAACAGCTCCCCATCTGCACAGCTAGCAACTAGCAACCAGTTTACCCCACCATCATTTAACTGCTTACCGGAAGTTATACTCCAGCCCCACCCACCCTCCACGGCCATTCTCCAAATGGCTGTGATGTGCTGGGAGATAAAAGCAGTAGGCACTTACATTAATTAATTTTATTCAAAAGATCAATAAATGAATCTCTATCACCTTGAGTGTTTTTTAAGTGTCCCGGTTTTCACTCCTGTCTATTCCCGTCAAGGCAAGTGGTATGGGATTGGGGTAGGGCAGGATAATGGGCCTGGAAGGATGAGTCTGTTTGGGGCAGGCAGAGCTGAGATGAGTATTTTCTAGGAGCCAATAAGACACAATGCAGTTGCCCTTCTCTTCCTGACAAGATCAACTCATCCAACAGGGAAAATGGCCCCTTTGGGAACCTTCTCATGACCTCACCCCTAGTTGGAATGAGTCAGTCACTCTGGTGATGCTTCCCTCCCGACTCTCTAGCATCCAGCTCACTCCGGGGAGTTAATAGTGGGTTGCGTATCAGCTCCATGGTCACTTAATGGACTTCTGAGGTTCCGGGTTGCGTCTCAGCAGTTTTATAAACTCCCCACCATCCTGGCAGTTCTGTGCATCTGTTAGGACATCAATCAAAGATTAAACTTAATATAGAGACAACAAAGAGCAGTTGCTGGGGACTGAGAAGAGACACCTGACACGGGTGTGGGGTCAAATATGGAAAGGCAGGGTCAGAGCATGGTCTGGACTCCTTCCAATAGACAATAGGGAGTGATGGGAGCGAAACAGCTTAGAGAGTTGTGCCTTAAAACACCCTCCTTCCCCTGTGTGTTGAGTAGACTGGAGGGAGAGCTGAGGTGAAGTGGCTTTCAGAGTATACATGAGAATAAAGAAAGCCTCAGGCCGATGCCAGACACAAATGGTATCCAAGGGCATGATAGTTGAGGGAGCCATTTTTCTTACTCAAAAAAAGAAAAAAAAAAAAAAAAAAAAAAAGAAGAAAAACCCAAAAACAAAACAAAACAAACAAACAAAAAACTGGCCAAGGCCAACATTCTTGGGAGAAACCCAGAAGGTAAAAGCAGTGAGCCTAGTGCCTAGGTTTGTATCTTACTTGCTGTGTGACCAGGGATGTTTCACTAGAGATCCTTAAACCTCAGTCTGTCACCTGAACAAGGATGGTTGTATAGGTTCCTCTCAAAGACTGTCCTTAGAATCAAATGGGATACAAGAGAAATGTCATGACACAAACTTGCAATCCCAACACTTGAGACGGAAAGGCAGGAGGACCTTTCAAGATCATCCACGACTACACAGTGGATTCTGGGCAGCCTGGGCTACATGAGACCGTTCCAAACGAGGGGGTCCTGAATTATGTATACACGTTTAGCATTAACAATCTTGGGTCTCTAACAGGTCAAATGAAAGTTTAGGCAACATTTTGTGTGTGTGTGTGTGTGGTGTGGTGTGTTTTCAAAATAGACCTTAGATTTGTATTTAAATTATGTCTGTGTAGAAAGCATAGGTCTATGTCTGGGATGCTATTCTGTCACCTCCCACCTTACTTTTTAAGACAAAGTCTCTCTCTCTCTCTCTCTCTCTCTCTCTCTCTCTGAAGCTGGAGCTCATCAGGTCAACAAGACAAACACAGATCCTCATGTCTGTGGGGAAATCAGTTTACCAATTGAGCCATCTCCCAACCCCAGATTTCAACATGATTTTAGTTGATTTCCAGATTTTCAGAAGAAGTGGGCAAATGATTTGGAGTTCTTAAATATCCACTCTATTGCACGCAAATTCTTCTCCTATTGTCATCTTGCAATAGAATTGTGTGTTGATTTCAATAATAAATGACTACGGAACCATTTGTGCATGCATGGTGGGAGACACACATCATATGCCCTTTGATTTTTAATGACATTGCCTTCTGATAATTAAAAGGAGCATTGAAGAATAAACGGCATCAAGTCCTCCTTGCCCCAATCTCTTCCTAGCTACAGGGTGATCGTGGTGGGGTGTGGCCTTACAGCCAGCCTCCCAAAATTCTGTTTTGCTTGCTTGACATACTTGGCGTTTAATTACAAGATCTTTAATCTTTAATGAGAACAGTCAAAGCCAAAATAGTCAAGCTCGACAGACCAGACTGCCTGAGCTGTGTACATATTTGCATACTCATTGGAGAAATAGTTGCTAAGCAACTACTGTGCTGTTAGGCCCAGGGACTGCATGACCATCTGCTCTGCAGGTACAGCAACAAGCGACAGGTCAACAGTTCTCACTTCCAGGGAGCTTCCAGCTGAAGATACAGACAAAACTCAAGCAAACAGGTAAAATGATTACATCCCATGATTAATGTTACAAAGAAGAACAATGGAAACGGGACCTCTCAGAAGTAGGGACTACACTGGAGAAGGCAGTCGAGGGGGATGTATGTCTTAAGGTAAAAACCTGAGAAAGGAGTAGGATGCTAGAGAGAGCAAAGAGAAGAAAATGAGAGGCACAGAGAGGAGCATGTGCAAAGGCCCCAAGGCAAGAACTCCCAGGAGTTCTTGGAGTAGAGAATCCAAGAAGCTGAAGAGGCGGGTGTGGGCCTCTCCAGGTGGGGCCTCACATACTCGGGTAAATAGTCTGGAGCCACTGAAAGTGTATGGAAAGATGTCAGAGTACTCACCAAGAAGTGGCCTGGTCAGATTTGGAAGACCGCAGCAACAGATAGCTCTGTGGCCAGTGGATGGAAGGAATGAGAATGGCTTTGTGCAGGGAGCTGTTGCAATCACCCTGCCAAACAGGACCTGTGAACCTGCAATCAAAGTCAAGACTGGAGAAAACATTTGCAATTTATTAGCATACAGATGAACTTCAGACCCATGGACATGGATGGCTTAAACTGCAGAGAACTGCAGGAGGATGGATAGAGTAAACTCACTTGAAACACATTTCCTCTGCCACTCAGGAACTCTCAAGTTTAAAATGCATGTCAAGGTGTTGGTAAGGCATCTCAGGAGATCCTACAACAGGATGCATTCAGGCCCTTTCCAGTTTCTCCGGCCGCGTGCCTTGCATTTCTTGGCTTCTCGTCTGTCCCCGAAGCCGGGAGTACAGTGTCTTGCTTCAGTGCTTTCCTTCAGTCATGCACACCTGACTTATACTTTATTATCTTATATTTAATATTTTATCACTTTATCATTTTTTTTTTGAGACACAGTCTGCCTGTGTAGTCCTGGCTGTTCTGGAAATCACTATATAGACCAACCTGGTCTCAAATTCACAGGGATCCTCCTGCTTCTGATTCCCAGGTGCTAGCATTAAAGTCGTGAGCCACCACACCGTACTTTACCATTTAATTTTATTGAAGTGCTGAGGATTGAACACAGAACCTTGTACATTCTAGGCAAGAGCTCTTCCACTGAGCCCCAGCCCCAGCAACTGCTTTTCTTTCATAAGTATACTTTTAGTTACATTTAAGGATAATCTAAGATAAACTCTCCCTCATCAACAAGATCCTTAGCTTATCATACACCTTCAGAAACCCTTTCCAGGATCTTCTTCAGAGCTTCTGGGTGAGGGTATAGAATCTTCTGGATCATCACTTACTGTGAAAATAACAAAGGCTCACTAAGAGAAGGGGGCGTGGCCACAAGCCTGAAACCCTGAATACAACCCCTGGAACTACAGGTAAATGAAAGAACTGATTGCTGAGAGAATTGTCCTCTGATCTCCACATGTGTGCCAGGGCACACTCACACCATCACACACACATACCAATAAAAATAATAAATTTGTAATTCTTTAAAAGATGAAGGAGCAAAAGAGGGTCCAGTGTCAAGTATTGGGTGTCGAGGTCTGGATTTTGAGGTCTGGAGAGGACCTAGCCAAAGAATGAGAAGAAATAAAAATGGAAAAAGAAGGAAGGCTGGGTAGGGAGTCATGTTGCAGAGCCAGGGAACTTAGAAGGTTGTCCAGAAGGCAGGTACTTCCCCTCAAGGCTGGGAGTTAAGTTAGATAAAAGTGGAGAAGCCTCTGGAAAAAGTATTGTGGATATCCTCTTGATGATACCTGGTTGGGGTGCCGGGCTGGGCTTACTGACTGGTTGGATGATTTCAAGCCATTGATGTACTTGGGGTCAGATGGTACAGGGGGCAGTGTAGAGGAATTTTAATTCAGAACACGGCTGCTCTGGCAAGAGATCACATCCAAAGACCTTCTAGGTCTGTGTGATCTGTCTGGAATACAAAAACATCTTTAATCCCAGGAGACAGAGGCAAGCAGACCTCTGAGTTCAAGGCAGGTATGGTACGGAGAAAGTTTCATGTAAATAAAAGCTTAGATCCAGGGTGCTGGTACATGCCTTTACTCCCAAACAACGAAGATAAAGTTAGTTTGTAGAAAGAAGCATCGTGATTGGATGTTTGAGTGGCAGAAAAGGTGATGAATCAGAGAAAGATTTGACAGATTAAGGTTTCCCCAACTCTCATGAGAAGAGAGAGGAAAGGGAGACTACTAAGGGGCAATACAGAAAGGAGAGGAGGCGGTTTTTACCAGGACAGTAATAGACAGGTTGCAGATGGAAAACTCAGGTGAAGACCAAATGAGCTAGAAAATGAGAAGGAGCCAGGAAATTAGAGCAGCTTGCTTGAGTTAGTTTGAGGCTAAGCAGAGCAATTCAGAGGCTGAGAGAAAAGCCAGATTGAATAAGTTAGTTGAGAGAGGAGTTTGAGTCAGAACAGCTGAGTTGAACTAGCCAGCTCACAGCTCAGTTAAAACAATAAAAGGTGAGCTTATTAAGCAGTAAGTCTCAGATGCTGAAAACATCCTAGGCCTAAATTAGATTTTATGAAGTTTAGAAGCTTCCAGGGCTAGGCCTAGATTATCAGACACAGGCAATAAACCTCCCAGACAACAATTGAGGCAGGTAAATAAAAGTCCCTTTTACAGACCCAGGCACGGTGGTGCACACCTGTAATCCCAGCACTCTGGGAGGCAGAGGCAGGTAGATCTCTGTGAGTTCAAGGCCTGCCTGATCTACAGCCAAGGCTACACAGAGATATCCTATCTCAAAACAACAACAACAAAGTTCCTTTACAGGGCAGGTGTGGGCAGTTCTTTATATTTTTCCCGAAAGGGAGAGACAAAGTTATGAGTGAAGGAAGATTGCCCCTCTCTCTCCACTTTCAGTGGTGGACGTGGCTGGTGATTTACTTGGATCATGGAAGGATGTGGAAGAAAAAAGAACTCATGAAAGACGGAATAGGAGTCTTTGAAAAAGCAAAGAGGTGAGGTTCAGAGCCAAGTGAAGAGAGCCTGGCCCCACCAGGAGCGAAGCCACCCTCTCCATGGTGAGAGAAGGAAATGGTGATTATCTCAGAAGAGTAAGCCAGTGTACGGGAAAGGACCAAATGGGAGGGGTCCTATCATAACACGTTTGGGAACATAGGATTTTGTTCTCTTTAATTGGTACAGTCATAATGGGTAAATATCTAAGATAGTTCTGCGTTAGCCACTGCATACACACACCCTTTTAATGGCAGGAAATTTTGAGTGAAAACAAACAATGTAAATTGCTGCTTTAGAATATGTGAAACTTTATTAAAAAGAGAAATAGTGAAACAAAACTACTTTGTGGTTTGTTTTCATTAAAAAAAATAAACTAAGTGAAAAAGGAAGCAAAAACTTTTACAACTAAACTATTTTTTTTTTTTTTTTACTTACTAAAGGCAAGTCCTAGATGCTCGGCACACTTATTATGCAATTATACAGCCTACCATGTCTGAACTCCACCAAGCAGGTATTTCAGTAAGCTACACAATCACACTGATAGTGGTTATCAGGCTGGAATTCAAAAGCATTTGAGTACCCTGTTTGACAAGGTGTTCAAGCAAACTACAAACAGAGCCATTAGCATTTGCATCTGTTATATGTAAGGCTGCAGTTTCTGACAATTTCCCCTCACCAAGAAGATTTAGAAAAAAAAAAAAAAAAAAAAAAGCATGAAAGATCCCTTCACCAGCGTATTTATTAGGTCCTACTCGTTCACCGGGACAGTCAAGGGACCCACTGCCAAGGCAGTGGTCTAACACCACTTGTCTGGCAACAGCATCCAAGGGCAGCTTGCCCTGAGCTAAAGTAGATTTCCCAGTCTAGTATAAACAATGTTGCTTTTATCAATCTTACATCTAAGGTCTAGGCTGCCTACAGAGAGGATGCCTTGTGTCCTTCTACTTAGCTTTGTTGCTCGATGATTTGTGTTTGTGAGTCTTGACAGCTTTGTTACTAATTTCCAAAGCCGATTTAATGGTTTAAAAAGCACCAGGACTCTCCTGTTCTAGCTGCTCTCTCTCCTCTTGAGGCCATATCATTAAAAAGCATAGAATGCAGGATTTTAAGAGACCTTTCTCCTCCCAGTGGTCAGTTGCATTGATGTATGCCTCCTGCCATCCCTCACATGCGGAAACCATAACTTTCACAGAAGATGGAGATGTGGGAAAATGCCGCCTAATAGAATGAAAAGTCAGACTCAAGGTTCTAGCTGAGGCTGGGAGTCTCTGCCTTGTGATGAGGAAGTCAAGCCTGCCCCTCCACTAATTCTAGCCCTCCCACAGCCTGAAATAAAAATTCTGTAGTTGATTTTTGAAAATACAGACGTTGCCAAGGAGACAGACGGTAAAAATGTAGGATGAAGTGAATTGTAAACATTCAAGTATTTCTACAGGTTGAATTAAAAACAGCAGCAATGAAATAAATAACCATATAACTTTGGCTTCTATTACAAACAATGCACCGGCTCTCCTCATTAAAGGGGTGGGGGGCAGGAGCGCTACTGGAAGCCTGGGAAGGATTCAGGTGCTCCATTTCCATCAGCACATGCTGACTTGGACATTCCCATGGACTCCTCAGAGACTTATTTACCCCAGAACAACTGAGGGAACAATTCCACATAGGTGTTGAGCCTCAGCGTGATTCCATTCAGACAGATGTCTGAGGCACGCCAATGTCATCCAGAAGCCCTGGGCTGAGGAAGCGTTGTTTGACTTAAAATCACGAAAACATCTTTCAGACGGTTACCCGTGAGTGGTGGTCGGCAGTTCTCAATCCGGTACATTCTCCTTTTTCATGTGTTTTATACCCTGAGAATCATTCACAGCCAGTTTTTAAAAAATAATAAATAAAGAAAAGCACATTGCTTTGGGTGACATTCCAGAGGCTCAGAAGCCTGATCTAAGATACAGTGTCAAAGTTCCCTTGGTGAACAATGTGTGGGTCCACTTTCCCTTTCAGCCACCATGCAGCCGGTTGTGGAGCCTGACCCCTTCCTGAAGAGGAAGACCCGTGCCTGGTGCACTCACAGAGCATCTGTGGGGAGCCCGCAGGACTGGACTTCCCTGTAAGCCATCTGTCTCCTCACAGAGCAGAGTCTGAGGGAGAGAATCACGGTGGCAACCAGGAGGAGGAGTCCCAGGATAAAAAGGATGACCAGGGCTGCCTTGGCCCCTCTTGGCTGCAGATTCTTGCCAAAGAAATAGAGGTCTTCGTTGCCAGGTTGTTCTGTGAGAAAGAAAAGTGAGGCATGAGGTACCTGCCTCTCCCCAAAGAGTGAAATACTGGGGCACTCACACAGGATTCAAAGAAGATGTCATTACCCTTGGAAGGCACTGTGGCTGTGTGGGATCCTGCTCCGGAAGGGGACTTGGTAGAATATGGGATCCTGTTGTCTGGACAAAAAATAGATTAAAAATGAGTTTACTGTTTATAAAAGAAGACCCTTCCATGATACATGAAAGTCATCCTTTACCTTAAGGACCCTTGACCCTTCAGTTCTGACATCTTTCTTGGATTCTTACTGGGCTATTTCACACTAGTATCAAGTACCACCCCTCCATCTTCCCAAGTTCTGCTTATCCACTGAGCTCCCTTCTTAGATTATGGCATCTTAAGCCATGGCTCATGACCCAGATTATCAAACATGCCCTCCTCCAACTGCCTCTGGCCCCTGGAACCTGCACTCAATTTCAGCACATCTTTCTCCGTTCTGATTACATATCCACGTATTTGTCTCTCTTAGTTGACTCTGAGCCCCTTAGGGTTTGTACCTGTGTTTTTCTCATGCCTCCTGTTTTCCAGGTCTACAGGAAGATTGGTGCCATGAGCTGGCATCACTGACAAACAGTACCTATGTTCCTGAGGACAGTGTAGGTGGTCTCCATGCCAGCATGAATGTGGTCAGACACATGGCAATGCAGAAGCCACGTCCCTGGGTGATCGGCAAACAGCTCAATGGTTTGAAATGTCCCGGGAAAGAGATCATACACATCTTCTCGGTAGGACTTATCTATCTGCAAAAGTCAAAAGATCCAGTCCATGGCTTATTTTGCTCAACATGGCAAAAAGAAAAGGAAGAGTGAAGAGACAGTAACCAGAAGGGAATAATGAAGGGGTGGGGGTGGGTAAAATTAATGAAAGCAAGAACAGAGCATAATAGAGATGAAGAAAAGTAAAGCTGGTTTTTAGAAACAGGTAAACTTGATAAACTTGTAATGACCAGTGTCTACAATGGCCTCAACAACTCCTCTATCCTGATATCATAACCTTCATAGTTCCCTCCTAAGTTGTATATTCCCTGTGTGTGGAATATGTACATGGCAGTAGAGGTACTCCTTTGCAAAACAAATCTATAAAAGACAGAGCTGATTTGTTAATTCTTCTCTCACTCTCTTTTCTCTTAGATTAGTCTGTCTGTGCTGAGCTGGCTCCCTCATCTCACCCACGTGATGAGTAAATTAAGCCTGCAGTCAACAGATTCATACGAAAGTAAGCTTGAAGATGGATTCTGTGGTTCTAGTCAAACCATTGACAAGTACTGGCCCAAATATCTTGATGAGGCCACATGAGAGACACTAAAGGCAAGCCACCTAGCCCCACCCCTCCAGACTCTTGACCCAGAAAGAACAAGATGGTGTTTATTGTTTGGAGCCACTGAGTTATGCAGCAGTAAAGTACTTCAAATCTCCAAACAAATTGACCAAGGGGAGGGAAGGAGAAGGGGAAGGGGCAGAGGGAAAGACAGAAACTACAGATATTGGGGGGAAAATGAATACCACTAAAATCTTACTATAAAAAACAAATATTACAGCCAAACAGCCCTGCATTCACAGATGACAATTTATAGACTGTAAACAATTTGAAAGGATACAACAACTAAAGACCATTCAGGAAGAAATAGGTGGGGCTAGAGAGATGGAACAGTGGTCAAGACCGCCTGTTCTTGTGGGAGCTCTGAATTTAAGTTCCAGCACATTTCATAGGACAGTTCACAACCATCTATGACTCTAGTTCCAGGGGATCTGGTGCCCTCCTCTGACCTTTATGGCCACCAAGCATAGCCATAGTGTACAGACATACATACAGGCAAAAACTCATACACATGAAATAATTTTTTTGAGACAGTATCTCCTTATGTAATTCTGGATGCCTTAGAAACCCACTATGTAGACCAATATGGTCTTGAACTCACAGAAATCCTCCTGCCTCTGCCTCTGGAGTACTGGGATTAAAGGTGTGCACCACCACTCCTGGCCCATAAAATAATTTTTTTTAAAAAGAAGTAGGTGACCTGAGCAGTACTGATTCTAAAAAATTAAACACAGATCATATTAACATTTTCCAAGAAGACCAAATGGCTTCACTACCAACTTCTATCAATTATTTAAAGAAGTAAAAGCAATCCTGAACAGATTCTTCTAGAAACTGGAGGCCAAAGAACACGTTCAAAGTCCCTTTATGAACTGACTTTCCTCTGATTTAAATTAAAAAAAAAAAAAAACAAAAAAAAAAACCAAACCGCTTATTAGTCGACTGTAAAGAAGCTGATCTCAGAAGCTGAGTGTAGAGTGGTGATCTTCAGAGGCTAAAAGAGAAGGGGAAGCCAGAATGGAGAGTGTTCACCAGTGTTGACACGCTGGTGGTGTCTTGTTTGGCAGGGTGACTGTAGATAATGACCAGCTATTGCATACTTAAAAAGCTAGATGACAGGACTGTGGTGTTTGGGAAACAGATGATTCCCCTCTGATTTGCATATTGCTCAATGTGTATATGAATGGTAATACCACACTGTACCTCAGAAATATGCATAATTTATGCTTTCATGCATCAGTTAAAATAAAGTAAAAAGGCACAACATATTTACATGCTTCAGCAAAGAAGATTTAGTGATGGCAGGTGGAAACTGGTGAAAATGTTGAGAGTAAAGACACAGTTCAAGAGCGTAAGACACAGCTTACAGAGTAAACTGACCCGAAGGTGGGGGCGGGGCATGACACAGAAACAAAATCCCAAGCCCAAGAGCTCTAATGTATTTCCTTGGGTAAGGAGACAGCGTACCACCTCCTCAAAAACAGCATTCTTACAAACACATTCCCCACGGGGCTTAGCAATTCTGCACATTTTCTCAAGGAAATAAAGACTTGAGAAAAAAAAAATGTGTGCATCTGTTTATAATGAGCTTGACCCCGCTCAGAAGACCTTTCATGGTTCTTATTGGAAAAATTAATACTGGACGGCGTCCATACGGGGAATTGCAACTCAGCCACCAAGAGAAACAAAGTTGTGGCACATAGGAGATGCGTGTAACCCAATACCTATGCAGATCAAAACAAGCTGGGCTTGGGACAGTGCAAGCTGCACAGCTTCTACATGATGTTCAGAATACTGAAACTCTAGAGACCATCGTAATCTATGACATTTCTTATTTTAATTTTTTTTTTTAGAATTTAATATTTTACTGTGTAGTGATAGGGTGTGTGTGTGTGTGTGTGTGTGTGTGTGTGTGTGTGTGTGTGTGCGTGTGTGCATATGAATGCCATAGTGCATGTATGAAGGTCAGAGGATTGGTTCTCCTTACACTATGGGTCCTGGGGCTCAAATTCAAATTATCAGCCTTTCAGAGCAAGCACCTTTGCCTGATGAGCCATCTCGAAGGCCTGGGAACAGGGATTTTTTTTTTTTCTTTGCACTTTGGGAGGCTGGGAGTCCAGATGAAGAGGCCTGCCCTGATAGAAGCCTTCTTGCTGGACTGTCCTACGGCTAAAGGTACAAGGATACAATGTGGAGGGCAAGAGGTCATTTGTAGCCTCAGTAACATAACTGGCATCTCCTTGTCTATGAGGACTCTACCCTGAAACTGGTCACCTGCTGTCAGGCCCCACCTCTCCACAAGATGACACTGGGGATCAAGTCTCCAACATGTGACTTTGGGGAAACACATTCAGATCATAGCAGAGACAGAAATAGAGCCGTGCCATCCAAATGTTCAGCCCCGGCACTGGAGTGAGCTGAGGGATGATGGGAAGCCGGGGCTGGGGTGGGTGGTGATGCAGAGTCTCTGCTTTGATTGCTTGCGCATTGTTAGTGCTTACGAACAACCCAGGATCTTACAGTAAGTGGGATTTTATGCATTGTAAACTAAATCTTCATTTTAAACATACATATGTAGATAAACTTTTTTATAATTTTACCATTTTATTATCTAATTTTTAAAATGTGTATTGAAAAAGCCACATTCTGAAAGACTGCTTAATATGTGATGCTCTAATCACTCTTGGCTAACATTTCGTGTGCTTTGAAACACAGAGGTTTCAATAGATTACTGCTGACTCCTGTGTTATAGCATGGGACTGGTCCTGCTTCCTCACCTATCAGATTTGGCTATATTCCACACTGCCCTGTAGACAGTACCAGAACCTGAGATGACAGGCCATTTGGACTGTGTCCCTGAACATTCATTCATCAGGTCTGGGGTAAGGTATGTTCTTTAAACAGCTTGCAAGGCGAGTCAGCTGTGCAGCCGGCACTGCCGTCATGGCAAAAGGTCAAGCAGCACCCCAGCTCTCTGGGGCAAAAATCAACACGAAGCTGTCTAAGCTGAAGCTTACTAGAGCTCCTTCACTGGATTCAGCTGTTTTGTTAATGAGTCAAAGGGAACAGGGGAGATGGGAGGGAAGAGACAGGAAGAAGCAAAGGAAAGGAGGAGGGAGGAGAAGGAAGGAGGAGAAAGGGAGGGGAGGGAAGGAAGGGAAAGGAGGGAAAAGGAGAGGAAGGAAGGAGGGGAAGAAGGAGGAAGGAGGGGAAAGGAGGGGAAGGAAGGGGAAAGGAGGGGAGGAAAAGAGGGGAAGGAAGGGGAAAAGAGGGGAGGGGAAAGGAGAAGAAAGGGGAAAGGAGGGGAAGGAAGGCAAAAGGAGGGAAAGGAAGGAGCAGGGAAAGCCCCAGACACCATGGGATCTCATATGCAGTGTTAGCAGCATACTCCAGCGCAGTCACAATTAATGATCAGACCACTGATGGCAAAACTCTCATCTGAAACTGGTGCATTGCAGAAATCATATGGACATAAACACTGAGAAATACACATCAGCAGAAGGGTGTGGCCACCCTGTTTTACTCTTTAGTGTGAGCCCCTCATAAACCTTACTGTCAACCAAGTCCCTTCCTGTAAGACAATGCAGTCAGTCCTGATGAAACCTGATAGACTAGGATCAGATGGAAGGGGAGAAGGACCTCCCCTATCAGTGGACTGGGGGAGGAGCATGGGTGGAGAAGAGGGAGGGAGGATGGGAGTGCGAGGGTAAGAGGGAGGGAGCTACAGGTGGGATACAAAAGTGAATAAAGTGTAATTAATAAAAAAAATATTAAAAAAAGAAAGAGACGCTTTGGGTGCTCACTCGGCGGTCTTGTCTGAGCTCTCTCCTCATACTTACTTTGAAGAGGAAGCTCTCTGCATGGTAGTGGATGGTGTGTATGTCCACCTCACTTCCGATTCCGAGCAAGTACCAGTTGGTCATGGTGTCTTCAGTCATTATGAGGCCCCGGAGGTTTCCAAAAATCTTTCCATTAATAGCTAAGAAGATGGAGACACAACACCCTCAGGTCAGTGGAGGACAGGCGCTGCTTACCCCCGTGGCAGAAATGGTTTCAAGGTCTAGGCCACCAGCCTTCTTACAGGCCTGACAGAAAGGTGCCAGCCTTGCTCACATTTGCCGATGGCCTGCTACTCCAGATCCAAAATTCAGATAACCAAGATAGCTTTGGATGCAGGGATCTAGGAAAGGAACAGCCCAGTTTGTCTTTCAGAGCTACATCTCAAGTATCAGTGTGTCTATTCGTTTATTCCGCATGCCTCTTTTGGAAGGAGTCAGTGTGCTGGTGAAAAGTCAGACCTAGATTTATTCCATTCTACACATGAGTAGACTGAGACACAAAGAATCTAGCACATGTATGTGTATGTAAAATATATATGTATGCATGTATGTACACACACATATATAGCTATATAGATAGATGTGTGTCCGTATATAGATAGTTATGTGTCTAGATAGATAGATAGATAGATAGATAGATAGATAGATAGATAGATACATAGATGTGTGCTGAATCAATTTGACTCTGTGTCCGTTGTGTTCTTAATGATTTGCTTTCTAAGAACTACAATAAGCCCAAGTGAGCTCTCTAAAAAGAGAGCTTCAGGTAGGCTGGACAGGCCTCATAATGACCTACTTCCTACTAAATTTTCACTCTGTGCATTGTGGCATAACTATGTAAGTTCCATTTGCTGAAAACTGAGGACATACTAAGAAACCCCCGAAATGGGTAAGAAAGGGCATGTGAATGGGTATCCAGCCACTGTGTTCTTATCCACATAAACCTTGCTTTGTGACCCACAGCAAGGCCTATCTTTAAAGGTACCTCTTGGTGAGAGAGTGTGGGTGTGTCCATGCAAACATATCACTCCTGCTCAAACTATCAAAAGGCAAGCCTCCTTAAACGGTACCCAATCCTGTAACATACACACATTAAAAATAAAAGTCTTGAGTGATATTTCATGCGCCAGAGAATTAAACCAAACCTTTAGTTTTGACCACGCAGAAGCTGTGATGGACTCACATTCAAACTTAATAAGTGACAATTTGGTCTTTAAAACAAAATTACTTCTTCACAGCTTAAAGGTCTCAGCATTCAACAATAGCTGTCCCTAAACAATTGGCCCAAAGCCACAGCGGCTAGGCTGGTTCACCCAGGAAAGGACTTTACAGGGCTTTCTCTAGGCATTCCTGGGAGGAGAGAAGAGCTCAGGGGAGTGGGGTGGGGTCCATACAGGGGCCTGTCTCACCAACAGTCCTCCCTTTAAGCACCCTGCATACCATGCATTTTGTTGCTCTCTTCGAAATCATCACTGTGCTTGAAACCCCGGGGATCTTTATTGAGATACTTCTTAATATTGTCATCCAGATACCATGATTCATTCTCATCAAACACCAGGAACAACAGAGCAAATTCATAGTCAACATCACTTCGCCTTCCCTTTTCATTCAATATCCCTTCTCGGCAAGTGATCAGAGGCCCCATCAAACCGCTGTATGTATCCTGAAAGGGGAATATAGCCAAGTTCAGTGAGTGCCATCCCATCCCACCTGACACGTCCTAGTGTAAACACTGCCTCTGGTCTGGCTCAGTCCACCATCAGTTGTAATATGTATATCACAAGTACTCAATGTATCTGAGATGCATAGTCGAATAAACAAATATATTTTCCATGCTTATCATATGCAAATGTTACTTTTTCAGATGATTGGTGTGCTTCTCTCATAAACTCTAGAACATTGATTCACAATATTTAATATGCCACAGGAGGGAGGTGAAGATAGCTGCTCACTTTAAAAATGATTACATTTTACGTAGGATATGATTCTGGGCTGGACTTTGGTATATGACATACGATTAAACACTACTGTAGTTTCACATACCATAGGCACAAGGCTCAACGTCATCACTGAGTCTTTGCTTTTTATTTCTCAGACTACTTATGACCTAAAGATTCCATAGTTTTGCTTCAGCTTGGGATGTGCTTCTAGCTCTGAGCTCTGGCAGTCCTCTAACATGAACAGATCGGCAGATGACAAGGGATGGCTCAGCCAGTAAAGGCACCTGCCACCAAGCCTAATGACCCAAGTTTTATCCCTGCGACCCACCCAGTAGAAGGAGCGAACTGACTTCTTCGCTGTCCTCTGACCTTTACACGTATGTTGTGGCACGCACATGAGCTTATGCACACATACCTGAATGTAATTAAAAGCAAAAGATTTTCCCAACTCCCCAAATCATAAACAAATTCTACTGTGGGACACCTATTTATTTCCTTTCAAACTGGCATAGTCTCCTGTGATTCAAATTATCTTGGAAATTAAATAGTTTCTTTTTTTTTTATATTCTCATACCAGCATTTAACAAACTTAAAATAGTTATAAAGCATTCTATACCATGTTGTGTGGTTTTGTTTTTGTTTCTTGCTTTGTGGGTCATCCTGCCTCTACTAGAGCCATCGATGTATGAAACTGGATCCGACCAGTGGACTATAGTCTGAGACCCCTGTTCTAAGTCAGACCCCTTTCACATGCACCCACCAGAATAGGGGTGGCTTCAATAGCCACCTTGTAAACACCCTAGTTCCTTCCTCTGTCTTACTCACCTTCACAAAGTTTGCCGTGGAATAGTACACCCACGGGATACAGTTGGGATCAGAGGGCCCAGGACCTGATCTCTTGGGGACATTCCATCTGTAAGTTTTTATTTCTCCTAAAATTAAAGAGAAAATTGAAATTGGTGATTAGACTTACCTGAAGAAATACAAGCAGATCTTTACATATGCTAGTCAGTGGAGATGATTTCTCATGTGTCAGTCTCTTTCTTATTAAACTCAGAGCTTGACTCCTACAGTTTCAAATGGATAGGGCTTATCCATGTGATTTCAGATTCCTGCCTTCCCTTATTTTTCCTGTTTCTGTTGTCAACTAGCATTCAGGATGTAAGGATGTGTGTCACAGTCCGCTGTTTCTCCTGCCTGAATTTTGTGTGTCCTCCCAACCTATCCTTTGTCACACTTTGTCCTCAAGGATCTCAGTCTTTGCCTCTGGTTCCATGATGACGATCACTGACTGCCAACATGGAGGAGAGTGAATCACCTGGGAGGCAGGCTGCCAGGCACACCTGTGAGGGATTGTGTGGATTAGTTGGCTTTTGAGTGAGTCCATGAGGGAACACCTTGCTAGGCTAACTGAGGCAGGAAGACCCAGAGTAACGTTGGGCTGGGATCCTGGACAGAATGAAAAGGAGAAGGCAAGCTCAGGACCAGCATTCATCTCTCTCTACTCCCTGACTCAGTGTGGCCCACCACCTCACATTCCCAGAACATGAATTCCCAGACCTAGAACTGTGAGCCAGAAGTTAACTCTCCCTTCCTGAAGTTTCTTTGCCAGAATATTTTACCAAGAAACAGGAAAAGGAACTGACTAGCACGTGTGAGAGTCGCCAGGGACCATTGTAACTGCTTTTCCTTGATCTTCCTCTTTCCCCAGTCTTCCCCACAGGCAGAATTTGTGGGGCTGGGATTTGAGCACCAATGTTTTGAAAGCTTCTCATGTGGGACAGTGCAATGCAGTTAGTGCCAGAGTAAAAGAGACCTAATTCCAAATCTCTACCCTAGGGTACTTTTTTTTGTGGGGGGGATGTGTCTTGCTATAGAACCTATGCAGTCCCCAAACTCACAGTTCTCTTGCCTCAGCTTCCCAACAACTTAGCATGTACTACCACATCTCTCTGGAGCTTTCTATTTAAATTGATGTTTGAAAAACCACTAAACTTCTATCGTTTCCTTACTGGTAAATTAGGTTAGTCTTCATGTTTGGGGATTTTTGTAAGGGTTAGTTGAAATTATGTAATTAATTCATGGGGCAGTACTACACTCCAAGTAGTCAAAATTGGTGGGTTTTTTTATTTTGTTTGTTTGTTTGTTTGTTTGTTTGTTTGCGTTTGCGTTTTTGGTTTCTGAAGCAGAATGCCCGAATGAAGCACTGAGCAAAAATAAAAAATAGGACATAGACAGGAATGCAGCTCCTCAGTCATACAGTTTGATACAAACAACAAAGCCCACTGTAAAGGCTGCCTTGGCTAAGTCAACAACTTTTGTTTTCTGAGCGATAACTCAGACAAGAGCATTAACAGCTAAAGAACCAGGCTTTACGGAAGTCTCAAACCCTGTGACCTTTGACTCTAACCTTATCTGTACCCCTCCATAAACCCGAACAGCACACCATAAACCACCTCCAGTTTCCCCTTCAGTTCTTTACAGTTAGAGAACTAAAACAGATCATTTCAAACTGAATCTAAACCTCGCTTAATCTTTGAACCTGGCTGGAAGAATTACATCATTTGAACAATGTGACATCTAAAGCTATAAAACCGTATTTACAGCTATGGTTAAGATACTGCGAATACCATGCTACCTCCGGAGAAGCCCACCCCCAATGCCTTGGCTGTGCGTGGTCCTCTTCTTAACACACTCCAATTTTGCTTCATGCTGATCATGAAACCCTCTTCTATGCAGAAGTCACGATCCCTGCTGCACTCACATGGAGACTTCTGGAAAGGCCTGCTTGAGTGGCATAGGCTTCAATGCCATGTAGAAGGTAAGAGGTCAATAGGGTGCATCTCTCACTGTTGCTGACAGACTAGTTGGCCTCAGACTTGAGGACACTCACCTGACCCTCCTGAGTACTCATATTATAGGCGCACGCCACACCCAGTTGGCTTTTTCATGCTTTAATAACAAGCATACACACCCTATGAGTAGGCACCATATCTCGCCCTAAGTCAATACAGTCATATTAACTAGCACGATAGCCACATTGAAGAAGATCCAACTAAAAGCTCTAAGTCATTAGTTCTGTGAACTATGTGCAACTTGTTTCCATCCAATAAAAAGAATAAACCTTTGCCTCTGTGTGTGCACACGAGGGGAAACAGAAGGGATGCTTTGCTGTAAGGTCACTTTTTTTTTTTTTTTTCCTGATGTAACAGTGGGTAGGAATACAACTTTAGGTGCGATTTCTATTGTGTCTCCTTGGAGCCCTTTTGCCTTGTGAATGACTAGACAAACAGCTGGTATTTAACTTCAGCAAGGCAAGCAGCTGCAGGTGTGGTGGTATTTAAATTAGAATAATCTGTTGTTTGCCCAAGGGCAATGCAAAGATGTTCAGTAAATGTTGAATGGATGGCAGTGGAGGGCTGAATGAGGAAAGTCTCCCAGACAATTCTGCAGTTAAACACTTAGTGACACCATTAGGAAAGGGTGGCAATGGACCTTTTAGGAGATGCACCCTTGCTAGAGAAGTACATCACTGTGGATGGGCCTTGAGAGTTCGTAACCCTGCCCCACTTTCAGTTTGCTCTGCCTGCCTCTGTGTTTGCATTTGAAGATGAAGGTTCTCAGCCTCCTACTCCAGTGGCCTGATGCCATCCCTCCCCCAACATTATGGCTCTCATCCCCTGGAACTGTGAGCCCAACAAAACTCTTCCTTCTATGAGTCGCCCTGGTCATAGCATTCCAGCACAGCAACAAAAAGAAGCTAATGCGATGGTTTGATTTAAAAAGACAAAAATTATTGGGTCTTCTTACTTTTCATTTTTAAAAAAATGTATTTATTATTATTATTATATCTGTGCATATGTGCATAATGATGACTGTGTGTGTGTGTGTGTGTGTGTGTGTGTGTGTGTGTGTGTGTGTGCAGGTGGTGTGTGTCATGCACGCACAGGGTCAGAAGACAACGTTCAGGTGTTAGTTCTCGCCTTCACTTTGTGTAGGCTTCGACCCTCTGGCTATCTCTGCTGTGAGACATACTTGAGGCCAGATGACCCATGAGACCCTGGCTGATTCTCCTGGCCCCGCCTCCCATCCCACCATCAGGAGTGCCTGGATTACAGATGCATACACTGCATCCACTGCTCACATGAGTTTCAGGACTGAGCTCAGGTTATCGGGCTTGCACTCAAAGCAAAGACTCAACAGACGCCTCACCGAGGAAGGCACCCATAGCACAAAAATGTAACTAAAAGATAATCAACATTGTATGTCATGGGGGCACTGCAAATTAAAATAATGGGTTTCTGCCACCATATACCTGTTGGAATGACCAAAGTCTAAAAGAGAAAAACAAAACCAAAAACTGGTGAGGATATTCGACAAAAAGGTCCTCTCACTCCAGGTGGGAACACAAAACAGTAGAGCCACCTCTAAAGACAGTTGATAGTTCCTTTAAAAACTGCCACATCCTCACCACACCATCCAGTGACTGTGTTCCTTAATACGTACTCAAAGGAGTTGAACATTATGGCCATACAAAAACCTTCACGGGAATATTTCAAGAAAACTCTCCACCATTTTGAACTTATCCTGTATCACCTCTGTTAGTACAGAGATTGCTCCTCTTGTCTCCCTTTTCCCTCCTCAACTCATTTTAGTCAGTTCAGAGAAATGTGTGGTGAAGAGGTCAGGTCCTGAAGTCAAACAAACAGGGTTTACATCACCATTCATCCAAGGCCTGGCCTAGACATTTGCTGTCCTCTGCCTTCATCATTTGTTAAGTTAGGAGACTATACATATTTCATCAGCTGTAAGGGTAAAACTTTCCCATTGAAACATATCTAGTTAGGATGCATCTTTAAATTTGTAATGTTATAGTTTAACTGACAGTGTGTTTTCTTTTCTTGTTTTAGTAACAGATAAAACAACAGCGGACACTAAAATTAATGACTTCAGACCCGATAAAATAATGTCTGCACTGTTAAACTGTTGTATGGATGGATTAAGGGTTTTTGTTGTTTCTTTTTATTTCAGATGTAGAACATGATCTCTGACACAAGGTAACACTCAGTGTGTGTTTGCCATTGCTTGTGGAGTGGAGGAGCCATGTGTCTTGGGGAACGGGGCTGGAGCAAGAGTGAGGCTGAGGCATGTCCGAACCCTGAAACTCTCATCTTGAGAACATCAGGAGTAGGACCTTCCCTCTCTGCCCTGGGCTTGCATACGTAGGTTTACACCTCTCACCTCTGCCAACCTTAAGGTGGACACATAGACTGGTGGCCAGGTTATATGTTAAACTTCCTCTCTCCTTATAAGGCCATGTCCAGCAGGCACTCGAAATTCCTCTTCATGCAAACGAGGCATTCCCAGCACCTTAGCCCTCGCCAACGACATACACTCACCCCAAAGCTTCTAACCACTCCCCAAAGGAATAAACAGACTCTGTTCCAACTACATGGGCTGCTCAAAGGAGCCTGCCTCCTGAGAAGTCTGTTTCTCATGCATTCACCGGAGCCTGAAGTCTCCACTCCCCGTCCCCGTCCTGGGATCCACCAGTTGTGGTCTGAGGTCTGAGGTCACAGGTGCAGGAGTGGGCCAAGAATGGTAATGGGTGTTTCTGACTACCCTGGGAGGTCTGTGGCAGGGCCCTATTTCGAGTACTGGGTCACTAGATAAATAGGGAGCTCACACCCCCAGAGACTAGGTAGAGGGACATCGGAGGCCAGAAGGGAAGAGCCTGGTGTCCTCACCAGGGTGGAGCAGACTTTCCGTGTGACTTACCCGGCTTTGTGACAGGCACTTCAAGGCGCTTCCCACTGTCGGAGTCCTCCACACCCTGAGCTGCGATGGAGTAGGGCCGGCTGGCTTTGTTCTTAAAGATGATGAGAATGGAGTCCCCCACCTCCGCATGGATCATTGGGCCTAAAGGCCAAGCACAAACAGGTACATCACAAAGATCGTGTCATGCTTGGCTGTCTGACCAACCTGAGTTCAGATTCTTCCTCCTTCCTTTAACAGGAGGCCTTGGGTGAATCGTATAATCAGAATCTCAATTTCCTCATCTGTAGAATAGGCTCACTAAGACTGCTCCCATAGGACTGGTAGGTAGCATTGTATGTGTTTTATAGAGTTTAGTTCTGTCCACCAACCAAGTATTCAATGAATGCTTAACTTCTTACTGCTAAAGAGCAACAGAGTTCTGGTTGCAATCTGTGGTCCATTGGATGAGAAGTATCCCCCATGGTCTTGGGCATTTGAATACTCTGTAGCGCTGATTGGGAGGTTTAGCTGGTAGCCTAGGTATGTCAGTAGAGATGGATGTTGAGATTAAAATCTTCAAACCATTTCCAGTTTGCTCCCTGTTTTGGGCTTGCTCTAGAAGATGTGAGCTCTCAGCTTCCTGCTCTTACTGCCATGCCTACTGCCTGCTCCAGGCCTTTCCTGCCGTGACAAACTCTTATCTCTCTGGGACTATGGCCCAGATAAACTCTTCCTTCTGTAAGTTGCCTTGGTCATGGTTTTTCACTGCAACCGAAAAATAACTAATGCAAAAACCTGTGCGAAACCTTAAGGAACCTAAAATTGCTCTTGATCGGGTCAATAAATGAGTAATGAGGCTCCCATGGAATAGTGGGTGGTAAAGGGATTATGGTAGCACAGTCATGCCACTAACGCATGTCAAGTGCCGAGACTCAGTATGTGGCTATTGTGAATGTTGGTTTAAACACAACTTGGCGCACCTGAGAAAAGTCTTAATGATGGATTGTCTACACAGGCAGACCTGTGGGCTTGTCTTGATTCTCTTAACTGATATAAGAAGACCCAGCCGGAATGTGGACGGCCTTGGGGCCCTGGGCTGTCTGAGAGTAGAGAAAGCTAGCTGAGCAGTAAGCAGGATCTATTCCTCTCTGCCCTTGCCTGCAGATGATGTGACCAGCTGTCTCCGGCTCCTGTTACTGTGACTTCTCCATCGTAAGAGGCTGTAGCCTGGAACATAAAGCCTTTCTCCTCTTGGTTGGTTTTCTTTTGTTTTTTATGACAGCAACAGAAATGATACTAGAGCAGACGCCTTGAGCACACACGTGCTCTCTGGCCTCTCCTGTGCACGCTTTCCTTCGGGGAGCAGCTGGCTTCTGTCTGTCCATGCAGATGACTGAGAGAGGTTGTGCCAGCCTTTCTCATGCCAAGTGTCTCTTGCTTTGCAGTGCTAGGAAGCACCCCAACAAGACAGAGTGTGGGGCCCACCGTCATCTTCACGAGGCACAGGTTTGTGGTGGAGACCCCCTCTGTAGAAGTATCCCCCACCTGATCACTGTTTCCCTCTTTAGCGCTCAGTGTGTCCTACACTCAGCCAGAGATATGCCCTCAGATGGTCAGGGGTGTGGGAACACCCATTCACCTGCCGCTGAAGCGAGCCCACAAGCCCAGCTTTGACTCTGAGAAACATGGTTAAAGTCATTAATAACATTTAAATTTTATTAAACTATAGTTAGTTTCAGAAGTGAAAAAAGAAAAGAAAAGAAAGTGCTGTGAATTTAAGCAGTAGGGGTGGACAGAGTTCAGACAGTTCGCATGCATTAGAATCATTTGCCACTGTCTACCACCCCAGTGCAGGGGCCTTGCTGTACTGGTTTTAAAAGGGTGCCTACAGCTGGTGGTGCAGTGTGATGGTGGACAGAGGTGGACCTGCCACGTGCTCGCTGAGTTCCTGGGAGTCCAGGCCACTCTAAGCTGCAGATGATCGAGAGGGCCTCACTCTCCACTGGAAGATGGCTGCTAACTTGCCTCTCCCGTAAGTCATTTCTGTTCCTCATCAAGCTAGGCTCTTTGAGAGCATGCCCAGCCACCTCAGCTAGCCCAGCCCTTTCCTTTGAAGCTCTGTGCACACTCATGGCTCCAAGAGTGACTCACGAATTACTCGAGTGGAGTGACAAACAAGCTGGTGAGTCAACGGAACACGGAGGCGTGGGGAAGGGGAGCGTGTAATCATTGACAGGCTGTTGTCACATCACTCGCTGTAATATTGAAGATACGGTGTCACTCAAACTCACAAAGTTACCCATGGTTTACAAAGCAGAAAAATATTTCTGAAGTCCTTTAAGTTAGCTTTCTGCCTTGAAAAAAAAAAAAATCTTCTTTTCAAGTGGGTGGGTCAAGCGACTCCCAGGTGAGGAGAAAGTGGGGAAGGAAAGCAGGAAGGACTTTATTGATGGCCAGCCACACAACTGAGGCATCAGCCAGCATAGAGCCCAGGCATAGACCTAGTCAGTTCTGCTGCCCAGGGCTCGGGTCAAAACCTGCCATTCTTGGCACCCACCTCACACAAGGGGATGCCTTTTTGCTGACACTAGGTTTTATAGTGTGTTCTATGTCACTGTGCTCATGTGACAGGACCTTGAGGGGGTCCCTACAGCCACTTTGCCTGATGTCCTGACTCATCAAACTGTTTAAAAGGAAAATCTCTCAGCTCAATAGAGAGGCTGGAAAGAGTATGAGACACCAGAATTCTGATTACAGGGATCCTGTGGTGTGTGTGAGAAGTGAAGATTGGAACGGGGGGGGGGGGGGGAAGGGAGCACACTCAGGGCTGACAGTGCCCGGATGAAACCCGCCATACCCAGGAGTTGCAGGTGCTCCTCTTGAGGGGGCCGGGCTTTAATCTCCACAAATTCTCCGTTTGTGTATTCCCTGTAAACCACCTTCCTGTACTGAGAGCCAATCCAGTTTTCAGTGTGGTTCATGAATATATCTCCATGTCTGCAAAGAAGAAGCGTTAGAAATCAAGCTTGTCGAAGGCAGGAAGACCGTGAGTGCCTCTGCTATCTGGGGTGCTCTGGGTTGATACTCCCCAACCCCTAGGAGGTGGGACCAGGGTCTCCCCAGGAAGATAGCCTTTGCACCACTTCTGAGACAGGATTGGGAGTCAGTACCTCAGAGCTCCTCATGTTCTCACGAGAGCAACCTCACACAGACCCATGGCCACGTTAGGGAGCTATCGCTGTCACCTGCTGCAGGGCTCTAAACTGGGCTAACCTCAGAGAATCCTGATGAGCAACAGAGGCCGTGGTTCTCAGGCTGGCACTAGGTGCACGCACACACACACTCATACACACACTCTTCACAGTGAACACATACACACACGAGCACACACTCTTCACAGCGAACACATACACACACGAGCACACACTCTTCACAGTGAACACATACACACACGCGCACACACGCTTCACAGCTCTGAAACCCTCCAGCTTTCCCTGCTGTCATTCTGTATACCTTGCAGGCACTCATCCACTCTGAAGACCCCCAAGCCTGCAGGGTACGTATCTACTGTGAATATAGCTGTGTACAAATGTGACAGTCTTATTATTTTTATGTTCTAGAGACCCACCCAGACAGTGGATTGTATGTGTACCTGTTTAAAGCCACGTTAAGATTTGGGTGATGTGTTAACACTGACCTCCGCTCGCAGCGCTGTACTGGGCCTGAGTGATGCCTCTCTGGTTCTTTTATTTCTTCTGTCAACACATCCCAGCACTGTTGTGCTTGGGAACATGAGACAGGGCTTCCGGGCGCCTGCTCTTTCTAACAGTGGAATACATAGAGCACACAAATGCAAAAGCTGTGGCTAGGGGTGGGGTAAGACAGATTTTAACAAGTAGGCACCCTTGTAAGTTCATGTGAAAAATAAGGACCAGCTCTGTGCTTCTGTCACCAAGCTAGGTCACAAGAGACAGAGAAGAAAAAACTCAGAAACAGCTGGGTACGGCGACACAGCCATAACCCTAGCTACTTGGAAGGCTGACACAGAAGAATGCTAGTTTAACACCAGACTGGGCTACACCGTGAGCTATTCACTCCAAGGGGGGGTCACTTTCCTTTCTAAAATAGGGTGAATCTAATGTCCTTCACTTCTCCCAAGTTAACCACTGGCATTCTGATCTCAAAAGCTCTCCCTGCCACCTATCAATTGCCTTCCTGCACTGAACCCCGCAGACAGAGGGATCTGCTCTAAGTCCGACCCTCTCTTCCTTGTGGGAAGCCTTTTATGATTCCCACTGGAAATCTACCCAGTTTGCCTAAGACCTGCATTATCTGTCTTTCCTGAATCTGTCTGTGGTCCTGAATCTGACTGTGGTCATTGCACTCCTGAGACACATTGGTCATCCTAAGCATTTGCTCTCCTGAGTATGGTGAGCCCTCCGCCCGTCCTGTCTTTGGCTGTTCTGCCAAGAACTATTTTCTTCTTTTTCCACTGTCTTACTCTCCACATCTCATCTCGAAGACTGCTTCCTCCACGGAGCTTTCTTGAACCATCCCCCTCCCCTACAGGGGGCTGTGTGTTCTCCTGTGGGTTCTCACTAACCTCCCCTCTATCAGAGACTGCTGCCCTCCCTGCAGATTCCAGCATTGTCCTGGGGGACTGTGTATTCAGTGAGGGAAAGCCCTGGTCTATGCTCTACACTGTTCCACCAGCAGCTTGCACAGCGGACATTCAGTAGTTACATGTGCACCTCTGACTTGACTCCATTTATTGCAGGAGAGTCTACTTTATGATCTGAGGGTCTTAGCTGTGCTCTGTTCACTATTTCCCAGCTCTCCTCTGCTGCAAAAAGCACACATCAATTGCTATATAAGAACTTCATCAAACCTAATGCTAGGAAGATGCTGGCTGAGTGAGCAAAGTGTGCTGTGAGGCTACTATGACGAATACTTTATAAACATCCTAGCAGAAGCCTGGTGTTTAATTATTGCTCAGTAGATGTTCATTATGATGATTCTAGGGATTGCTAAATTATACACATACTCGTCTTCAAGCCCAAGAGTGTTAGCACCATAACTTCAATTTTCTACAGCAATTTAATCTAGTTCTTTCCTTTTTTTTTTTTTTTCAGATTTGCTTTTGTTGCACAAATCTGATGTCCACATTGTGAGGATTGGGTCCATGTGTTGCCTTTCAGGAATCCTGATGCCTTCCCAGCAAATTGAAGAAACCTCCAACAAAGAAATTCAGGTACCAAAGTGGTACAGAGGGTCTGTGCTGGTTGGGAGGATAAATGTCTCAGAGGTGACTTGAACCAGGAAGTGCGTCAAAATAATAGCCTTGGGGCAAAATCAGATGCATAAACCAGAGGTGTGGACTATACACTTGCAAGCTTCTCCAGAGGCTAATGCAGGGGGACCAGAAACGGAATTTCAACCTGGATAACTTAATGAGACCCTGTTTCAAACAAGCAGCTGCTGGTATAGCTGTAGGAGGCCTCAGTCTGATCCTCAGTACTGAAAATAAGAAAGAATCGTAGGTGCAAAAGCTGGTGTGTGGAGGGCATTGGTCCCTCAGCTCCTGTCTATGGAGACACTGTGGCTACACACTGGAAGGGCGTGCACATGTCATGCTGTGTGTGTCTAGGGATGGTGTCAGAGGACAACTTTTAGGAGTTGGTCCTCTCCCTCCATTGTGCGATGTGGAGACCGAGCACAGGTCAGCAGGCTTGGACAAGCCCCCTTACCTACTGAGCCATTTTGCTGCCCCTGTGCTTCACCTGAAACTGATAAAACTACAGCATTTCGTACACTTTGAGTGTGTGGCAACATCCTTATCCCACCTCACTTTTGCTGACTTAAGGTCACTAACCAGAGCAGTAGAGAACTAATCCCTTTTAGCCTTCTTCCCCACTAGCACCCTCCTGGTTTTGCAGGCTGTTTAACCCAGAGTCCCAAAGCTGTACTTTCCTCTTGTTCACATGGATGGAGACAGGAGCTTCACACATAAGTTGAAGTGAAGGCTGTGCACTTTATGCACTCTGAGCTAAGACTGCAGACGAAAAAACTTAGTGAAATAATTGTTTTAGAGAAGGCCAAATTAGTCTTCATTTTCTGCAGAGAGAACATCAGTGTTTAACTTGGACTGGCAACACAAGTTGCCTCAAAGATGCGTGTCTAGATTAACAAACTATGAGTGAATAATTGAGTAGGTGTTTTTTTGTTTGTTTGTTTTTAATGATCTTACCTTCAGGGCAAACCTCCATAGTTACTTTATTCCCCCCCCCCCCCACTTATCCCTAAGGTGACAATGTTGCAATAGCTCTTCCTCAAAACAGTGGTTGTTAAGTAAGAAGAGCAACGGATGTGTTGAGCTTAAGGAAAGCATTGTGTAGCGATGTCTGTGACTGCAGACATGAAGGATTTGTAAGGGATGGGTGGTCAGGACATTGTAGGATAGGTGCTAAGGGCAACCAGGAAGGCGAGGACAAAGGAAAGTGTGCTGTATTGGAGAGAATCTGGGTTTTCCCTGGGAAGATGTGTGTTCAGCTCCTGCTTTGCCACAGACCAGCTGGATGCCCTGTTATTCCGGTGGGCAGGAATGTCAGGGCAGTTACAGCCAAGCGGCTGAAAGCTGTGAAGCAGAATGCCTTAACTTCTGGAGACTCTGTGGTCTGTGCCCGAACCCTTCCTTGTGCCTGACTCTAATCCCAGTGTGCCCTGAGAAACTTAGTCCAGGGACTCGAAAATTCGGAACAGTAAAGAACCAGGACACACAGACCTTTCTGTGGCTTGAGCATTGCTGATGTGTCAACATGTGACCCTGCCTGGTATCACTTCAATGAAGTGTAAGACTTTCAGGTTTTCTGGGTAGCTTGGAGATCTGCTCTTCCCGCCCTGACTCAGGAATCTCTCTGAAGGCAATAGCCTCAGATCATCCTTGGGTGTCCCCTCCTGGGTCCATCATGCCAGCACCATTTCCCAGGCTCACCTCCCCTGCATTACTGGGTCTATAGCAGCCCATATTTTCACCCAGATCCATGCACCTTCTCTGCCTCACCTGGATCATTTTTCTTCTCACTGTTGCTGTGGTCTCACTCTTCCACTAAACACTTCCATCTGAGTTCTCATTCAAAAGCCCATCCATCCACCCATCCATCCATCCATCCATCCATCCATCCATCCATCCATCCATCCATCCTCCTCAGCCACGAGGTAGACCCATCACAGCTAGGTGACTAGGGAAGGTGCAGGAATCCACCATGGGGCCCTCTGGATGACCTCTGACCTATTTTCAGGTGAGGCGACAGAAGCGTCTCTAATTTTCTGTGCTCATAAGCAAAAGTTCTCTGCCTGCAGAACTATGCACGTACAGCCCGGCCGCTTGGTTTCCACGGGTGCTAAGGCCCACAGAGCATGCGCATTCCCACCGAAGAGCCGTGGCTTCGCCCATGGTACCTTTCCCCTCCTGCGTCCAAGTGCTGCTTTTCGAACTCCCAGTTTTTGTTAGGGGCATAATCCCATTCTACCTCTTCAGCGGCGATGAAAAAGGTTCTTAGCATCCCGTAAGGCGGCTCAGAAGGGTCCCTGTTGCCACAGCTGCTGACCTCATAGATCTGACCCATGCCTCTCACGAAGTGGTGCAAGGTGGAACAGAACACCTTGAAAATACCTGAGGAGAGAAGGCTTGGTGTCGCGCCCACGACTTGACATTTCTGGTGGCGGTGATTTGCTAAACTTACACGTTCTATTCCACCATCAGTAACCAGTAAGGTAGACTTTTTGATTACCTATCTCACGGTATTTTTAATCAAAGCTTATGAGGAATAAGTTGCTTTTTTTTTTTTTTTTTTTTGTTTTTGACTATCCTTTTTTAAGAGGGGAAAATGCTACATAGAATTCATGTGTAGTAGGGGAAAATCAGAATATTGTTACCAAGAAAGGGCTTTCGCTGGCTCATCCGTGTTAACACACGTCTGCTTACAGCCAGGCACTCCTGGAAAATTACTGATCTTTACCGCTCTCACAGCCCTGCCCAGTTTACAGGGAACTAATTACCTGTGAGATGAAAGAGCTAGACAGCGCTCAAATTAGGCCACGGTTAGGGATTCTGCCCTGAAGGATTTCGTAAATTATAAAGCAAGTACGCACGAAAGTCAAATGGATTATTTCACTATAGCCTTGAGCCAGGGAAGGTTCCTGTGTATCATGCTGATGGAAAGGAAAAAAATAAAAGGAAAAGACCGACTGTACTTCTCTATAGAGTATCAACAGTGATGTCTGACAGAAATTTATATAATTTAAAAACTGAATTTCTAGATGTGTTGGCACCTGTGTGTGTTTAGAATATATATCTATATTCTAATTAAACTCACCATAAAATGAAATCATTGAAGATATCAGCTCTCAATGAAATTACTGGCTCAGTCTCCCCATTCTCTAACAGACTGTTCCTAGAGCCAAGTACTGGCGTGCCTGTGCATAACCACCTGTAACGCACAGGGAGCTCCACTCCCTGCACTTGCAGCTCCTGTCTGAATGCTGACTGTCATTTCTGCATGAGCAAAGCCAGATAGTTCAAGGGTTCACTGAGCCCGCTTTGAACAGAATCTCAATAAAGCATAGCAAATACAAAGGTATTCTTAGTATTACAGACCTAGGAAGGTCTCTGTAAAACCACAGCGAAGACCTCTCTCTACACAGGCCTGTATTCGGATAAAAAACGATCAAGAATTCATTGTGGCCACTCAACAGTGGAGCCATTGTCTTCTCCAGAGCAAAGGAAGCAGTGTGAGCTGCTGCCTACCACTGGCTCTACCCCCTTCTCTCTTTCTGTGTGTGTGCATGTGTGTATGCGTGCTTGCACACGGAGGCCAAAGGACAACCTGGGATATCATTCCTTAGGAGCACATGTGGTTTTTTTTGTTTTGTTTTGTTTTTTTTTTTGAGACAGTCTTTGGCCTGAGACCCAGAAATTAGGCTAGTCTCGATGGCCAGTATGCCTCAGAGAAGATTATGAGTACATACAGATTTTTTTAATTACCTATTAAAGCAGCTAAGTCATTTTATTTTTTTAAAATGGAAAATGGAAAATTAAATTAAAAAATGAAAATTTTCATATAATATATTCTAATTATGGTTCCCCTCACCCAGCTCCTCCCAGGCTTGCTAACTCCCCACCCACACAAATCCCCACCTTTTCTTTCTCTTATTAGAATACGAACAGGCATAAAAAAAGAAGAAAAATAATAATAATAACAGACAAACCAGAACAGGATGAAACAAACTAACTAATAGAAGAAAAGGGGCCAAAGAAAAAGCATAAGAGTCACATAGATGCATAGATACATGTATTTAGATACAAAGACTCCATAAAAACACAAAACTAGAAAGGATAATATATATACGTAAAACACTGTATAATAAAAATGAGAATAACGCCCAGACAAAGCATTATGAAACCAGGTGCATACAGTACGTACAGAGCTTTCACATTGGTTCTGGGCATTGAACTCAGGTCCTGATGCTTACACAGCCAGCACTTCACTGACTGAGCCATCTCTCCAGACCTCTACCTACTTTCCGATTATTCTTTGCAAGTCACAGTTAAGGGACTGGAAATGTTGAAATAACCAGGCTTTTTTGCTAGTCACAGATTTATGTTCACTGCCAAACACAGCCAGAAATCATCACTAGGATGAAGGTCCTTCGAAGCCCATGGGACATATGAGGAATGATAAAGCACTGGAGTAGGACACCAGATTGCTACGTGTGCCAGCCAGCCCGGTCTTTGCATCCCTGGGTCTATGGATTGCAATGGTTTGGTTGTTCTCGGTCTCTGCTCCTTTTTGGTGTATGTTTGAAAACCAGCATCATGTTCAGGGCAAAGCCCTTGGATTGGATGATTTGCAATCAATCAAGTATGTTAATGCAGATGGGTGGAACACTGTAGGAGCATTCCAAGATAAAGAATACAGGGCTTCTGTTTGCAGGAAGCTCTTAGGAAAAGGTTTTGAAGCCTTAGCCTCAAGTTCTTAACTGATCACTCAGATTCCATCCAGATCACCCTGAAATATGCTGTGATTCCAGAGTGAGGTCAAGAAGTCGAAAGCTCATTATAAGATAAGATGTCCATCGGGTACTCATCTCAGAGAGCATTGTTATGTGCTCTTGTTAAGACTGATCTAGAAGGTGAGAAGGAAACACATTAAATGCCCTTCACAGTGGCCATCCTCGCTGGCAGGTAGCATATGTTCTTATGTTTCTTGGTAATTTTTGTAAAAATGTCCCAGTGGTCTCTTTAGTTTGGAATCTCTAAGGGAAGAGGTTCCAGGAACAACATGGACTCCAAACCCAATGCAGTTTGCCTTCTGGAGAAAGCAAGGGTGCTCAACAGACTCAAAATAAAGAAGTCCTCAAATAACTCATCCCCAAACCACCAACAAACCCCAGGGGAAGGAGAGCAGGACACAATGACAGCTATATCCACAGCCTAAAGCATCCACCAGGCTGTCCATGCCAGGTATATGCCTCGAAGAAGGAGGCATAACTTCAGCCATGTTTGCACTTAATGAGAATAAGAGTATCTCTCTGGAGATGAATGAACATATTCACCTAGTATTTGTGAGGATTCACCCCAGATTCATGGGGATTCACCCAAGGCTCACATGAACTCATTGTGGGTTCATCTGGATGTGCCTAGGGATCATCTGGGTTCTCCTGGGTTTATCTGGATTCCTGGATTCCTGGATTCCTCCTGGATTCCTCAAGCATTCATGTGGGTTAATCTGAGGTTTTCATGGATTCCCCTAGGTTCATGTGGCTTCCTGAAGATGTGTGTGAATTTGCCTAAGGTTTGTGTGGTTTACCTGGGATTTGTAGACAAAAGTACATGCAGAGGACTCCCAGCTCTGCATTTTGGTTAACAATTCCTCTACCTTTTATGCTACATGTTTGCACTAAAATAGCCAGCAATCTGATTTGAATCAAAACTATATGTGTTTCTAGAGTCTTTGAAGTGCCAGTTTTTTCCTGGAGGAGGATTTTATGAGGACAAGATGGGGTCTGAGCATGTAGGATGGCTCTGCTAGGTTTACCTGCATGGTCTGGCTGCATGAATGCCGTTGTGGCCATATGCGGAAACAGAGCCAGGGAGTCCCGATGAGTGCCTCGCAGGTGGATGGTGTTGCCTTGAAAATAAACTCCATGCATGTCTGTGTCCGTGCCCATTCCAATCAAGTGCCAGGAAACTCTGTCCTTCTTGCACATGCTTAGACCTGGCTGGCTGCCATACATGTATCCATTAATAGCTGAATGGAAAGGAGAAGATACTGAGTATCCATTGTAATTCTGTACTCACGGGAAAAACACCATCTCAGAGAGTGATTATCAGTGTGCCTGTGGCAGAATCTCAAGACTGTGAACTGTACATAAGATCCTTGTTACTAGAGAATGAACACTATTGGAAAAAAGACACAAGGTGGCTAGAATTAACAATAAATCTGAAAACACACAAACATTACAAAACACTTTAAAAGTAGCAACACATTTTCTAAGACCATAATTCTAAGAATCACTAAGGAATAAATCAGGTGGGTTGTTTGGGGTTTTTTTGTTGTTGTTGTTTTATTTTGTTTTCTTTTCTTTTCTTTTCTTTGCAAGTTCTTTTCAGGACAAAATTGTCAGATAGCACCTTGAGGTGCTTTCTAGTCAACGGTTTACCTCTGCACGTCACAGGAGCATCATCCTCATAAGAATGCCATTTGAGGAGACTGGAGAGATGGCTCAGTGGTTAAGAGCACTGGTTCCTCAGCCAGAGGACCAAGAATCAATTCCCAGCGCCCACATGGTAGCTCAACCATCTGTAACTCTAGTTCGAGGGGATCTAACTCCCTCCTCTGGCTTCCACAGGCCACGTGGTGCATATGCAAACATGCAAGCAAAACACCCTTACACGTAATAAAATAATAACAATAATTTTTCAAACAAATTAATATCAATTGACTTCACCATCTTTCCATATTTCCCCTGAAGATTATTGATGCAAAACCAATTTTCTTTGAGGTTATTATCCAGTTATCTCCTTGTCAAGTGACTTTCTCAGTTAACTCATTAAATTCAATTCATTTGATTCAGACAGACTCCCACTTGCATTTGCTTCTAGAAGTTATCAGGCGTTCATTTACAGAGTTCATAGATTCTGAGCAATTCGGAAGAGTTACAATAAATTGGCACTGCATTTGCAGATATGATCAGCGGAGATGAATATATTTTGAAAGGTTAGAACTTGAGTAAACAAGCTTGCTGTATGATGATGTCCGCTCTCTTACCCCAACGAGATAACTGAAAAGTCTGTGGGTTATGTGAGTATGAAGACTGTGATGGTAATTTTCACTGATGACTTAACCAGTTTAGAATCACCTAGGAGACATTCCTCTAGCTGCATCTGTGAGGACATCTTCAGAAAGATTTACTGAGAGAGGAATGCCCAGTCTGGACTGAATAAAAAGAAGAAAGCACCCTAGGGCCAGCATCCTTCCCCCTCTCCTCTCTCCCTCCCTTTTTCTCCCTCCTCTCCTCCTCCTACCTCTCCCTCTGACCTCCATCACCTCTCCCTCCCTCCTTCTATCCTCTCTGCTTCCTGACACTGAATACAATTTGATGAGATGCCTCATGCTCCTGACACCATGCCTTCCTCACCATGATAGATGGTACACTCAACTGCTGAGCCAAAATAAACCCTTCCTCCCTTAAGTTGCTTTTGTCAGGAATTTCGTCAGCAGAAACAAAACAAAACAAAAATGCAGCAGCAAGGAAGTAACTAATAAAATTAATAAAATGACCCCATGCTTTAAGAGTAACCCGTTAATTTTGCCTTATCTATCAATCCCAGTCCATCAGTGGTAGGTCTCTAGAACAATGCCTTGAGGTTGGTTTTGAAACATTGCATCCTGGTTCAGTACAGATGAATGTTTTCACTGAATAGCAGTGTAAACAGGTGTGCTCATGTACCTATGACTCACACTTGGTATCTGACTCCCACCTAACACCAAAAGCAGGACAAAATAGCTATTACACACATGGATGGTCTTCTGGTGAAAAAAAAATCTTTTTATTTCTATGTCCATCAGCCAAACCAGTGATGCTTACCAGGTGTACTTAAATTTAGGATTGTTAGTAGAAAGCCCTGGAGATTATAAAGAAAAAAAACATATTTTTTAAATGACATTGGTAATATTTTTACCAGTAAACTATCTAAATCTTGTCTGCAGTATTTGAGAGATTATTACCACACTTGGGTGTGTTTGAAGAAAATCTTTTCTGACTGTAAGGGTGTATTTAATGCTTCTATTTCTAGACTTGTCATTCATTCATTCACTCATGCATTCATCAAATACCATTTGAATATAGCTTATAAAATACACACAGCCCATGACAGGGCAACATATGAAGCCTTTTACCCTTAAAAATGTGGTTTCCCCCCTTCCTTGCTATGCAAGCAAGACTGGAACTAAAACCTAGTTTAGTTATAGCAAAGCTCTCTTGAAAGCTGATACTGCTTCCTGAATTTCACAGGTCCAAGATGGGGATTTGTTGGACATGAGCATTGGGGATCATGGGAGTTTGTGGCCTGATTGCTGAGGGTTATTGTAAGCTTGGACTTTGGGAATTTCCTGAGCTAGAGAGGGATTTGGGAGCCTTGTTTATTCATGTTGTTTCAGACGGTAACAAATGTTATCCTTGGAATTGAAATGAGCGTTCTCGCAGCCTCTCACATGTACCGAAGCGCTGCAGTATGTTACCAAGTTGGGCAGCTGCTTGCTTTTGGTTTTCTGTATCTGGCCTCTTGCTTACTGCTTGGCTGCATGAGGCAACGTGGCTGACAAAAATAACCTTTATGCTAATCACAGATAATCACTGGGTGGCTTACTATTATGATATAAACAGAAACTGAGAAAGAATTAATAATTTCTCCCAAATTAAGGTAAGTGGGAACCACTAGTGTTTGGTGAATTAATCCTTGCAGCAGCTGCTCATTCTAGTTGATTAGATCTACTTAGGCATGTGTGATTATTCTCTGTATCTCCTGTTATCAGACTGGATGTGGGAACTTCATCAGTCATTTTCCACACTTTGTATCACCTGTGTTCTTTGTTACTTTAAACTCTGTGTTGCTTTGTTAAGGATGGCACTATGTTTTAGAAGTGTCAGGTTCACAGTAGCTCTGGGAGCTCATGAATCTGAAGGCAGAAAATGCTTTACCTCCTGATCAGGAGCAATACCAAAGACATCAAAGTTAGGCAGGCTCAAGACCATTTCCCAGCTGCAGCCCAGCCTTTCATACCATGCATCCGGTTAGATTTCACAAACTCCTTGTCTTCTTTGTCAACACTGAAGGGATGCCAAGCAAACTTTTGGATGTTTTCATCAAGATACCCGCTGAAATTCTCATCGAAGACTGTGAACAGTAGGTAAAATTCCTTGTCTATTCCTTTCTAAAAAATAAATAAATAAATACATGAAGAAATAAAGACATACAACATAGAGCTTGAATTAGTTCTAAAATTCACGCAAAGTCATCGACATTAGCCATAGAATTACCCATCATTTCATAAATCAGGACGTTGAGTGTGGCCTGTCTCTTGTTGTCCCTCTGTTTCTAACAGGTCTGCTATCCAAGCCACTCTATTCTGTTGCTTGCCTCTCTCTAAATGACATGATGTAGGCTCTGTGTCCCTCTCTCTACCCACCTGTTCTTCCTGTAGTCTACATATTTCTGTAATTGTGTCTTGAGAAAGACAGAAGGAGAGGATGAGAAGAGGAAGACGGAAGAAGTTGGGAAAGGGAAATAGGAAGAGAGGTAGGAAAGAAGGAATGAGACAGAACATGGAATTTGGGGGTTTAATTAAACGGTTATGTGGAGGGCAAGGATGGTCAGAAACTAGCCTAATGTTACCTGACTGAACTCCATGACACTCCTTCACCTCTGGGAGAGATAGTGACAACTAACTGGAAGAAAAATCTCTCTCTAAGAGCCTCTCCCTCTTTCTACCTGCCTAGAAGAATCCTGAGCAGGTTTCAAGCTACAGAGAGACTTTCGTATTTTCTCTGGTATCTCTTACACTAATGACTTTATCTGGAGCCAAATGGTTGTGTCTCTCTGCTAAATATCAGGTACTTTATTGTTTTTTTTTTTTCTTGTTGCCTGCTTTCATGAATTTTGAGTAAGCAGTATTACTATGAAATAATATTTGGCTTAGCAACATCCTCTGCAGACTCTTAGGAGCTTCTCAAAGTCTTCATTGAGTAGATACAACAGAAAAAATGAAAATGAGAACCATTTTGCCAGTAGTTCTTGGCACGTAACCTCTTTGGCTCAGAATTTGCCACCACAGTGGGGAGCAGGTCGGTGTATGGGAGAGGGATAGTTGGATGCCAAGTCCCGTGTCCAGTGACCTTCAAACTCACTAGGAATAGTTCCCTGAGTCTCCCTCGGTGTCTCTGAGCCTCAGTTTCTCCACCTTTAAAATACAAACAACACACTGCAACTGCCTTGTTGCTGTTGAGGCACAGAGCACATGCTCACTGAGTTATGCATGCACACCTTTCCAAGGTTACTTCCTCGTAGAAAGAATTGACCATCTGAGAAAGACCAAGGTGTCTTCTGTCCTTAAAGCCTAGAGAGACAGTCCTTGAGTCCACACACAACAGGTCCATACAACACCAGATACTGTAAGATATAGCACTTAAATGAGCTGACTTGCTGTTTCTCATCATGAGGTAATTGGTGAAATGGGTGGTTGAGTGCACAGATTTTCCACTTTTCGTAAGTGAGCTCAAATTTCATAGGTGCTGCTTAAAATCCTATGCTTTGTCCCATCTATCAGGGTAACCACCCAAGCCTCAGAGTTGAGACTTACAAACAGCCTATCTACATGCCTCCTCTTCCTGTCGGCCATCATGATTGATTCCCTATGATTTATAGCAACCCTCAGCTTTGGCACAGGCTGGAATCACAGGGAGAACCTGATTAGACTGATCTGGAGCATTTGGATAAAGGATGCTGAAAATGTTCACAGACGGGCCCAAGTCTGAGAAACCTCACTCAGCAAGAAAGATCCCAATCACACACCCCTATAGATCTCTGGAGATTCCAGAATCAAGGCAACATACAGGCAAGGAAGCCAGGCAAATACCAACCACACCACAAGCAGAAATGCTAAGATCCTGTGTCAGCATCTTACATTTTCAAAGCTTAAACAAGCCCTCATGACCATAAGAGTCGGTTGCAGAAAAAAGAGACACTGCTTTGTTACCGGCTGTCACTGCTTCATCTCCAGCCACACTGGGGATCCCTCCCACCTATAGCCCTGGGAAGAGTGAGGTGGCCCTGTTGGCCTACCTGTGTCCCATCAGCATTGAGGCTGCCCTTTTTACAGACCAACAACGGCCCCACAAGGCCAGCACTGGTGTCCTTGATTGGCTGGACTGCTGAGAAGTAAAGATAGGTCAGGCAGGGGGGATCTTCATCTGTTGGACTGACGCTTTCGGGCACCATCCACCTGTAGGTGAAGGTTTCACCTGGCTTGACATGAGCCCCTGGTTTCAGAAATCCTGAGGATGCAAAAGAAACAGTTTCACACAGCCAAGAACATTAAAGCTTGCCTGGCTGGTTCTCCATCCCTGGGTAGCTCTCTCTGATGATATATTTTATGAAAAGAAAGTTGTTTGGTTTTTTGTTTTTCTTACAAATTTGATCCTGATATTCCCTGGACCTCATATGCTACTTTATGAGATAGAAGCTGAAATCGAAGTGTTTCCTTCATTGTAGATTGTATCCTATTTTGTATTCATGCCATGTTTAGCCAATATTAAGAGGATGATAGTGTTCCATTCGCACAACTGAACACAAGTCTGTAAGGTACCGCCAAATAGCTTCTATGTGAAATGTATCATACTCAGTCTTGCAGAAGACACCCTGAAAAGTTAAGCAAGATTCCTATTGTTGGGGGCTGGAGAGAGGGCTCCAGTTAAGAGCATGTACTGCTCTTGCTGAGGACCTGAGTTCAGTTTCCAGCACCCATATCAGGTGGCTCACAACTGCCTGTAACTCCAGCTCCAGGAGATCCGATGCCCTCTTCTGGTCTCAGTAGGGACCAGTACTCATGCATGCACACATAAGTAAGAATTTAAAACTAATTGTTAAAACAGAACTCTAACAAGCTTGAAATCCAAGGTGAAAGTGTAGCGAGTAAACCAAACAACAAAAGTCAGAGCTTGTACGCAAGTGCCCAAGGTTCTGAGCTGTGAACAGGCAGCCCAGAGTTGAAACTATGACTCCCACTCCTGGACGCTTAGCTCTCAGGCTGTGCTGACAAGGGCACCCTGGTCTCTCCCACTCAGGAAAAGCTACAAGCTTGCTCTGCACCTGACTTTTGCTCTTCAAAAAGTTGCCCAGCGAGTTTTCTGACTAGAAAAGTGGAAAGTGTAAACATTCTTGCTTTCTGCAGTTTTTCCTGTGAACTGTCCCCACCCACCCCAGTTACTCTGAGTGGCAGCGGATACAATGAGCACAGGAGATAGGGTGAGGGTCTTGAGGGAGCATGTCCCTCCTCTGTTCTGCGTGAGCCCTTCACCATCACCGTAAAGCCTACTCTCCATGGGGTCTGGCTTCATATTAGATGACAAAGAGTTAATCCCTAGTGATCATGCTGTCTAGTGCAGAGATGGGACATGTACCAAAACACTGGAGTTTCCCATGAGCAGCATCAGCAGTGTAAGCATAGTTCCTGCTGCCCCTGTGTAGGCAGAGAGCCTGTGCTCCCTGCTCTGTGAGGCACAGAGGCTGTAGAATTTTAGCTCACAATGCTTATTTTTCAATAAATATCTGCTGGTGGATACAATCAGAGACCACATGTGAGATGTTTATGTCAACTATATGGTGAGATCAGATTTTCCCCTCAACTCTCACCAGCGGAATTTCCTGCAACTCACAGAAGACATGCTCTCCATGTTGGAGAACTGGAAGAGACTATAGAATAGGTCTTTTTTTGTCATTGAGGGGAAAAGAAAGAAACTAACATTTCCTAAGAGATGACTGTGGGATTAGCCCAGGCCCAAATGCTCTCAGTCCAGTTCAAAGCCCTGTGACGTTGTTGTTAGTATCTGAATGGATAGGAAAAAGGAACAACATTCACGGGGTTTAAATAATCACTCAGAATTGGGAAATGAAGGGACTAGGGACTTGATCCAAACTTGTCTCCTTCTTGTTCGTATAGTAGACACACTTGCTCTTATAGGGGGATGTATATGTGGGTACATTCATTGGAAGGTCAGAGGTCAACTTTGGACATCTTCCTCTATCACTGTTCACCTTCCTTTTTGAGACAGGGCCTCTCCTTGAACATGTAACTCACTGATTTCTACCCATCACCGAATGAGCTTCAGGGATCTTTTCACACATACACACACACACACACACACACACACACACACACACACACACACCAATTCTGGGGTAATAGACAGGCATCATACTGCTCCTAGCTTTTACACAGGTCCTGGGGATCCAACCTCAGGACTTGATGCTTGCACAGCAAGCACTGTACCCACTGAGCCATCACCTCTGTCTCTTTCTTAGTCCTTCCCTCACTCATCCAATGTCCTTCATAAGCTGGGTTGAGACTTACCATCTACATTCGGAGCTGCATCAGATGCCTTGTCATAGAACACACCATGGGGTAAAATGCTGTAGACCTTGTCAGCTTTGTTGGCAAAGGTCACTAGCAGGGTGTCACCCACCTCTGCCTTGATGACTGGACCTGGGAAGCAAGAGAAGAGGATGAAAAGAGATGGAGAGGTGAATCAGAGCAGAAGAGCTGCTCTGCAGACATCTGCCCCCAGGTGAGCACACCCCTTCAAAACATCAGGACACGGGTACCGAGGATTCCAAGATGGGCTTCTGTGTCAGAGGGCATCTTTCTTCTACTGAAAGTAGCATCAACATACTCCGTGTACCGAGCCTTCCAGTATTTCCCTCCTATTCTGTTTCCGGCTTGTGTGAAGTACACCGAGGAGTCACTGTAGGAAGAAGACATGGGAGTCTGAGAAGACATGAGACCCATCTCCCAGATTCAGTCATCATGGAACTCACCACCCACCTCCCCAGCAAAGCCGGCATAGGCTTCAGCACAATGCCTCGGGATCACCTAGGATCACCACCAGCCTGAGAGCTGGTTCTCAAGCCCATTTCCCTCTTTGCCTTTGCACCCCATCCCCCAGAGTCCCCACAAAGAAACCACAGGAAAATTCCTCATTTACCAGCAATGAGGTTCCAGAACAGTGTCCTAAAACGCAATAAAGAGATAACTGGTTTTCCTGTAGAGCAAAAATCCTTGTAGCGCTCACTGATCTGATGGAGAGGTTTTGTACGTGGCAAACTCTGCCACGTGACTGACATGACTGAGATAGGGAGACTGAGGCATGATGACTAGTCAATCACATAGCTCAACCCATGGAGAAGTGTCTATAAACTATATGGCTGAACCCCTAGTTTTAAGATGGTGTGGTACAATGATATTGCTTCTGACTCATGCTAGCTCTGTATGCTCTTACTACCCATGACTCTAAGTCACAAGAGTTCACAGCTACTTTAAAAAAAAAATCAACTTGAAAACAGGCTAAGAGCAATGGCTGCTTTTCCAGAGGACTCAGGTTTGGCTCCCACCACCCACATGGTGGCTCACAACTATCTGTAACTCCAGTTCCAGGGCAACTGACACCATCTTCTGGCCTTCACAGGCATCAGGCTTACACATGGCACACAGACATACATAGAGTCAAAATACCTAAACACATAAAATAAAATTCTTTTTTTATGTCAACTTGAAAAGTACTATAGCTGTAGAAGACCAAAGACTCACAACTAGGGAGGTGGGGATTTCAGTTAAGAGGCAACGCTAGACTTGGGTTTCGGAGGAAACATAGCATTTAGTTGGACGAAGAGGAAAAGGACAGAAAGGCTGTGTCACTGACACGAGAGTGCCAATAGACTGTGATGCTTATCTCCATCTGGAGCCCTGTCTTTTTCCCTGTCTGTTGCTGCTCCACATACGCATTCTGTAGTTCAGTGCTTCAAATGGCCCTGACCATTGTTTGCACAGAGGAGGTGCTCAGGAAGTGTTTGATTAAAAAGAAAAAAAAAAAAAAAAGGAATGAATGAGTTGATAAATAAGTGAAGGATTATGAATAAGTGAATTAATGAACCTGTGAATGAATGAATAGTGAATGACTGAATGAGAGAACGAGTGAGTGAATAAGCGGATAATGAATGGATGAGTATATCAGTGGGCAAATGAATCTGTGAGTGAGTAAATGAATGAATGAATCGGTGAGTAAATGTATCTATGAGTGAGTGAATTAATAAATTGATTGAGTGAGTGAGTGAGAGTGGGTTAGTGAGTGAATAAATGTTTCTGGAGTTTTGATCTAGCCACCAATCACAAATAGCCGCTCTCCCAGTCCTCAGCAGAGTTCACAATAAGAATTCTAGCAGCGATGACGTCATGATGTCCACCACCAGAGAGACACGGTGAGATCATAGGGAAAAGCCTGCTGCACACTGCTCTGGAGAGGGACTCAGAAAGACCAGCAGCTCTCACCTGCCAGACGCGTTCAGGGGAAATCCGGTGAACTTATCATAGCCTTGGGGCCCGTAATCCCACAGGACCTTCTCCGCTGCTATGAAGTAGTGCCTCTGCTGACCCCGCATCTTTGGGTGAGGAACACTGGTCCTGCAGCTGCCCACGTTGTACTGTCCCAGCATGCCAGCTGCAGAGGAAGCAGACACACAAACCACGGCATGGGTAAAGCGCCCAGGAGAAGCAGACTGCTTTGACTTCATCAGCATTTGAAACTTTTATACAGAAAATCGGATGATAAACAGAGTTAGCAAGAAAGGATAAATGGGGGGGGGGTGTAATATATTTAAATGCAATAAACATTGAAAATTAAAAGTTCATCATTTTAAACATATAAAGAAAAGAAGTAAGTCCCCAATAGGAAATGGGTGGGGGCAGAAATGGGTTGTTCAGAAAAGAAATAACACCAGCCAGTAAACAAATGGAAAATTCTATCTTAGTGGTGATTATGCAGCACCATTGTTCACTGATAGGGCTGATAAGATCTAAGAGTCGCAACTCCCACCCAGGTTTGTCAGACAGAAGCAGGGCAGACGTGCTGTGGGCGGATGAGCAGCAGTGCTAACAGCGAACTAGCAGTGTGTGTCTGAAGCTCTAAAAAGCAATCCACTTCTGATCTGGGAAACCCAAATCCAGAAATGTCAGGAAACCTATCTGTAAGCTGCTACAGCGAACGAGAGAGGGAGCAAGAGAGTTATCGAAGGTATCAATATTGATACAGCACTCTGTGCTCACCAACACGGAAACACTGCTGAAACACATCCATGAGTAGAAAAGTAAGCTGCAGGGAAGTGGAAATGGACCAGCTTCACTTGAGAAAGTATAGAGGGACTCTAGATGGGACTGTTGGTTTTAAAAACCAAATTACAGGGGCTGGAGAGATGGCTCAGCGGTTAAGAGCACTTGCTGCTCTTGCAGAGGCCCCAGGTTTGAGTCCCAGCCCCCACCCAGTGGCCCATGACTGTCCCTAACTTCAGTAGTAAGTGGCACACCATGCGGAATTTATGTCGCACACTTTGTAAATTTCTAACTACTAGTTTCTAAATTCCTTTAAGGTTTCAGATTGATCTTAAAAACACCATAGGAAACATCTGGGGAGGATGCTAAACGCACACTGTGTTTTGCAGAGGCTAAATAATCAAGTAAATGCAATGCATATGGGAACCTGCTGAAGAGAAGCAGGACTGTGGTGGAACTGCCCATCATCTAGCCTCTCCGCACAGGTCTCCATCCATTTTACCTTGCAGGTGGTCACTGACTTGGCAGGTTATCATCCATTTCCCAGGATTCTCCACTATCATTTCTGTTGTTAGGAAGGTGGCTGGAAACAGGTTGACAACATCTGCCCTGTGCCCTCTGGTGATGAAGGTGTTACCATAAAAATAGATGGAATGGATGTCTATCTCATTTCCCATCCCAAACAGGTGCCAGGACACAGATTCGCCAACACACATCTCAGGCTCGGGGAAGTTTCCGAAAAGAAATCCATTGAGGGCTGCAAACACAAACACACCAGTGGAAGACACGCCCCTGCAGATGCCAGCAGTTCTGAAGCAGGGCAACCTGTACGGGCCATCGCTACAATGTTTTCCTGCAGCAATCCCCAATCTGAAAAAAATCTTACTATTAAAAGTGCTGAGAATAAGGGACTGTGAGTGCTCAGCCCTAAACGGGACACCTTTATCAACCCTCCTTTGAAAAGGCCCAGGAAACACTGTGAGTGGGGGTGGGAGCGGGGAAGTGCTCCCGTGACAGGATGGGCGGGGTGCTGTGAAGTGCTGTCTTCTAGACGTGGCCTGGCGGTTGCACTCATGAACTCACAGCATCTGTGGTTCCTTTTACAACAAGATTAATCCAGTTAAAAATTCCAGCACAAATAAGGTAGGCTTATCTATGTCTGAGGTGGAACTGGCAGTGGATGGCTGCTGAGGGAGGAAGAGTCACTTTTCTTTGGGAGTTTGGTCATCGCAGGTTGCCCATGACCCAGTGGGTGGCTGTGGTATGTTCATGCACATATGGGCAGCAGTAATTGGAGGCAGTAGGTTAAAAATAAATAAATCTTAAAAGAAAGAGACAATGTTGGGATGGAGATGTGATGGAGATCCTTGGAGCAGGGAGTAGGGTGGATATGGCCAAGATATATTGTATACATGTATGAAAATTTCAAAGAATAAATTAAAACATTACTTGGGGGCTAGAGGAATGGTTCAGCACTTAGGAGCACTTGCTGTTCTTGCAGCTACCCGATTTGATTCCAGGCACCCACAACTGTGTATCACACTAGTTCCAGGGGATTCAATGTCTCCTTCTGGCCTTCTCAGGTACCAGGCATAAACAAACATGTGTGCAAAATACATGTACATTTAAAAAAAAAGACGAAACTATTGTTCCTAACAAAATGGCTCAGACAGCACCATTTAAGTCATAAAATCTAAGTCATTTTAGTAAATTTAAATTGATTGATCAATAAATCTTATATTGATTTAACACCTTTTGTATATCAGTGTGTTTTTTTTTTTCCAAGTGATTTCTTCTATAATTGGCATGTCTCTTTTGCTGGCATTGATTGTGTGCAAACTCCTGCATCTGTATACAGGCTGTTTTTTATTCTGAAAGTTCGCTTTGCTTAAAAAATTCATTTCTTCTGGGGGACCATCTCATTACAAAAGAATAACTCCTGAATGGTAGGAGGGATTTCATGGGCAGTGAATCCTGAAACACTATCTGTGGTTTTCCCAGTGTTTGGGGTTTCATCCTGTTCTGAAGAGCAGCGATAAAACTAGTGCCAGCAATGACTTCCACTCAGGTCTTGTTCACCTCCCTCTTCCTTGTTTTCTTTGCTTCCTGTCCTTCTCTTTTCCTTCTCTCCTTCCTTCCCTTCTAAAACATTTGCCAAGTACCACTACATGCCAGATTAATGAAGCATCACCAGAAAGAAGATGGCAGGCGTGTGATGTAAGACAGAATGTGTATAGTGACTGACGGCCCAGCCTGGATGTGTATTATAAGTAAAGGCAGCTAAATTGAAATGTTTTTCCAGTGAACTTCCTTGCTCAGGCTCTCTCAGGAAGTTCTCTAGTACAGATTATCCCCTGGCCTGAGTTTGCCATTAATGGTCTTGACCTCAGACTCTTCATCTGCAAAATTCAGGCATCGCTCACTGCAGCTTTCTCTTTCTTTTATGATTGAAGATCTTGTGTCCAATGAATGCTCACTGTATCTTGATGATTTAAAGAATGCCCAGAAGACAGTAAGTTCACAAGTATGTGTTTAAACTCCACACACTGCATAGTTCTGAAAATTTGACAAACACATGGATGCTAGTTGCTGGATATGTTATGTGGTGAGATTTTATTCTCCCTTCTAGCAGTCTATATGTTATAATCTGGCAGTCTAAACATTATAATCGAGAAGGAACCTTCCCGGTTGTTTTCTCTCTGTTTTCTATACCACTGTCTTGTCTGTCCTACTTAATGTAGCTTGTGTATATGGCCTTGTCCTTTCTCAGATTGTTGGACTTCAAAGTGTATTATGTCTTATAACCGTCATCCAAATATATCCATCTTGCAGAATGAGATGCAGGGTTTCCACCTGTTTTGCTTCCCTGAAGTACCCCATCATGCAGAAAGCCCCTCATGGCACACACTCACCATGCATCTTGTTGCTCCTCTGGAAAACAGCATCGGTTTTGTCAACGGAAGTCGGGTCAGTGCAGAAATGCCTGATGTTTTCATCCAGGTACCAGCTCTGGTTCTCATCCACAAGAGTGAACATGATAACAAACTCTCGGTCCACATCAGTCCTTGTCCCTGAGTACCTGTTCAGTACACCTTTCAGGAACATCAGGAGAGTGGGGGGAAAGCAGTTAGAGGTAAACTAAACCCAAGTGAGGCCCCTCTCCTGCCACCAGTGTTCAGAAAGCTTGACGGAGATAAGCAAGGATAACCTGCATCCTGCAACATTTAAGCAGATGCCAGCTCTGGTGCACATGACACAACTGTAGCAAAGTCACACACAATGCAGAAATCTTGAGCACTAAGAACACAGAGGCTTGGCTGCTCCCTGAGGAGCAGCTATAGACAGTGCAGACACATGAAATTGAAAAGAGCAAACTGAAGGTGTCACTGGTTACTTGACAAGACTGTTCACTTTCCTACATGCAGTTATGTGGAATTCTGTTTTTATTAAGTGAATTCCAGAACCCTGCTGTGGTTTGTAAAGAGTGCCTGAATTGTCTGCTCTGATGTGAGATCAGCACGACCTTCCATGTTGTCTAAAAAAATATCAGTGGAAGAGTTACATTCTACTTGAAGCAAGGATGGTAATGAAGCAAGACCTCAATCTTATACACACTTTCAACACACACATTGCCTGGGAAGAAACTTTGGGGATATGGAGACTGCCTACCTTCCTTACACACCAGCAGGGGTCCAATTAGCCCTGAGCAGATATCCTTAGGAGCATCAATGTGGGAGTGGTACACCCAGGTCAGGCAGTTGGCATCAGCTGGAGCGGGTGCATATTCCTCCCTCACCGGCCAGACATAGGTGTAGTTTTTGCCAGGAGGGACCATGTCGTCATCCTTGTTCCTTCCAGATGTCCCATCTGGGTATAAGGCTCCTTTTATCCAAAAGAAAATGAAAGATGACCTTAAAACCCAGAGGTTTTGTGCTGTAGGGAGGGAGCATGTCTTTGAAACCAAACATAAATGAATTTAAATGTGTTTGCTGTAGAACTTGAGGTGAAGCCCGCTGAGTTCTTAGTAGCCTGGTTTTCCCTGGTATGGCTGTGATGCTGAGATCTAGCCCACAAAGACAGGAGGACTCAGCGAGGGAATGCATACAGAGTGCTTCTCCCGGAAACACGGTCTTCCTAATAAAGATGCTGATGATCCTGCTGTTCCAGTCTGAAGGGTTTCATTTCTCCTCACTTGCCATTGTCTTGAGATGGGACAGACAAGCAGTGGAGGAAATGATGAGCACCACTTGGGGACCTATTCCAGATTCATCGTCCATGTGGGTACCACAAAAGATGAGAAGGGAGGGTTGGGATTTCTCCCGGCTTCCGGAGATGTTATCATCTCAGGGACAGACTGCAATATGTACTCAGGGACAGACTGCAATATGTACTATGGACACATGGACAGCTGGGGAATAAAGCGAAGTAGTGTGAGGAATGTAGTTTTGGATCAGAATACACAAGAAGAGATGGTCAGCTGTATAGCAGGTAAGGTGTATAAAGCTGCCCTGTGCTACATTTTTTAATCCTTTTAAAAATTAATTTATTCACCTTACATCCCAATTGTAGCCCTTCCTTCCTCTCCTTCCAGTCCTACCCTCCTTCCCTCTTCCCCCTTCTCCTTTCCCCTATTTCTTAGAAAAGGGGACCCCCCTCCCACCAACCACCTTATCAAGTTGCCTCAGGATTGAACACGACCTCTTCCCCTGTGGCCTGGCAAGGCAGCCCTGCCAGGGTGGAGTGATCAAAAAGCCTGTGCTACATTTTATCACTAGGATCCTGGCATGGAATTTTTCAGTTAAGGAAAGTCCATTGCACAAAACAGTGTGACAATGTATGCAAAAGGCGAGTGACCAGCCTGAGTCCAGTATCATCATCAGATGATAACGGGTCAGGTTCATTATGGAGAAGGACTCAAGGGGCCCCAAAGGACCAGGAATTTAGGGCTTTCCCTGCAAAGAACTTTCCCTGTTACTGAACAGTAAGGAGGACTGTTACGGATAGGGAATGAGACGGACATAGACATGCTCCAGGCCTTCCGCTGTCACTCACGCATTCAGTTCATTCATCAACATAAATTGGATATAAACCACATGCTAATGAATGGGATCCATATTACAAGTCAAATAAGGTGGCAACCCTAAGGAAATATGATCTAAGTTTTCTTGACACATTTTACCATAAAATGTAATTTGATGTTTGGAGAAGGATGCAAGAAGAAAACAACTAAACCTACTGTATGCCAAGGACATAGAGTGGTCCTGAGGGCTGAACCCAGGACATGAAGCATGCTAGGCAAGTGCTGTATCTCAGAGCTACAACCTCAGACAATATCTATTCTTCAGCGCAACCCAATCTCGTACATACTAATGTCTATTTCATTATGTCTTTCCACTTGGCTGAGTCAGATTTCAATTTATGTCTGACTTTCTAAGAAAATTACTGAGAAGAGAGTCTATGGACCTCTTTTATACTTATTCATTCAACTAAATTTCTTTTCCAATACCAACTTTCAACAACTATCTGGTACGTAACACTTAAAGATAAAAGCCAGAAGTATCCGTTGATAAGGACAGTGAAATTTTTCATAAAAAAGTAAGAATTAATTTTATTAGTTAGATCCTGTCAGGAATAAGGTTGTATTTGGGTTATACTGTTAGATGTAAACTTGGTGTATATTAGGGTAATATAAATAAATTATATCATTTCTTTTTTTCTGTAAAAGAAAACAACAATTGTTAGTGAGAGGTTTTGGGAGAAAAAATTGTGTAAGAGGCGATCATATTTACACTATTCAGTAATGTAATACTTTACATTTTCTGTGTTTTCAAGAATAGATGCAAAAGCAGTCTCTCTTTTTCAAATGAGTTCTGTATTGTCCTTCAATGGGAAGTGGAGATATTTAGACACAGCTGTGGCTGCTTTTACTCTGAGTTAAACCACTGTGATTTATTACTTTTAACTTGATAAATGATTTAATTTTACAAAGGAATAAAGTAAAGGAAAAAGAAATCCAAAAAGCTCTTCTCCATCGACTATGACCCAGATTCATTTTAAAGAATGACCCAGAGTCATTTTAAAGAACTCCTGGGGTTGCCTTGCAAGGGCAGCACTGGGCAGGGTGGCCTGTCCCTAGCGGCCTCCTGCAGTGACTTGTTATCTTCCTCGCCTTTCTTCTTCAGTCAGTCCTTTCATCTCTACCTGCCGTTCACTCATGAGAACTCAAAATACAAAGCTGGCTCTATCTTCCTGTGCCCAGCACAGCTGCCCTGCATGACTGTACCCCTCACCTAGTACCATCTACCTGGCACACCAGTCACCTTGGCCTTAACGCACCTGAATTTCATGCCTGCGCTCTGTGCTGACACCTTTCTATGTGGCATTTCTGATGTAAATTTTCCCAAACAGAGCCTTTCCCAGGGTATGTTGCCCCCTGTCAAGCCTGCTCTTTAGCCAGCCTCCTGCATTAAAAGCCATGCCAGGCCACAGAGGAAGAGGATGCAGGCAGTCCTGGGGAGACTTGAAAGGCTGGGGTCAGTTGGTAGGGGAGGAGGGCTCCCCCTTTCTGAGGACTAGGGGAGGAGGATAGAAGGGGAAGAGGGAGGTAGGGTGGGGCCGGGAGAAGATGAGGGAGGGGCTACCATCGGGATGTAAAGTGAATCAATTAAAAACAAATAAGCCAACATTCAAAGCCACACGTCTGATATAAAGGGCTAATCTTCCCTGCCTCTGCTTCCTTCCTCCTCAGTTTCTGCGCTGGTTCTCACAAACCATCCACGCGGCCCCTCCCAATCACAGCCCTCTTGACAATCACTTCCTAGCTGGCTTTCCTGCATTTTTGTCTCTCTGGTCAGATTTATCTTTTTATCTCAGTTGCAATGCTATTGCTCCCCACAACCTGAGTGCAGAGATGACATCAAATGTATCCACGTGGACCTCTGCAATCGGCACAGCCTGGCTCAAGCAGCTCTGAACCGCTTGAACTATCAAGTCAGTTCTCCTGCGTTCAGAGCAAGAACAGCAAAGCCACTGAAATTAGACAGCCTGGAATCAAACCCTGCCTCTATCATGTCTTAGCTAGGGGGTCTGGCAGAATTTCACACTTTAAAATGATGAAACTTAACAAATACCTAACACATAACATTATGCAAGCTTATGTGACATAACATCTAAAGAGCCTGTCACTGTGCCTGGAATATGGTAGGTATTAAAAAAAACATTGCCTGTTGCTTAGTCATAACATTGCTCAAATTTTAAAATGTATGTATAAATGCGCAGCAGATATAGTATGCATGTAACAGCTTTCACATCAGACTGTAAGAGCCAGAGACTAGGGTTTATTTTCACTCATGACTGTACCCACAAGATCTATACTGTTAGGTTTAAGCTTGACAATAGTTCATCCATTTTAGCTTATAACCTTAATTTGACCTAATGTTCCTTGCCCTAACCAAAACATCTTGTTCTAGCTTGGAAGCTCCCCATCACCAGGCCCTCTGGTCTTGGAAGTTCCCTGGACTCCTATGACTTTTCACCTGGCTTAAAGGTCAGAGAGCACTGCTTTGTCTAGATAGCTAAAATGTTGCAAATGCATCTGTTTGTGGTTTTTCCCTTTAAAAGCCAGCAGAAATCACCGGGTCATAGTTTGGCTCCTGAGTCCTGGCTGCAGCCCTAATGAATCAGTCTCGGGGTGTACGGTCAATAAACCATCCATTTCTGACAGAGACTGGTGTGGCTATTCCTGAACCCCAACAATACCAGTACCTGCAATGAGGGCTGCTCAACATGTCTGCTGGAGAAAGAATGCGTCTATGCCATTGCCTTATGGTATCTTTTCCCAAAGCCCTGAAAGTACGATGCATGGTTGGATTTACACATGGACAGACAACAGGAGGCAGGTGTGAGGAGAGTTGATAGGTGTGAGGCTTGTCTTGAAGTGTCAGCTGGGATCCCTGTTCTTATGTGATTATGTAACACGTGGATAGGAATCACAGTTCCTTAATTCTAAATTCACTATGTGAGCTTTGTTCTGATGGGGACTTTCTGGTGGCCGTCACTGAAACGGAGGGGCTAAAGCCCCACAGAAATGCTTAGAGCCAGTTTTCAAGAGGAAGGCTATCATTCAAGGTCCAAATTTAAGTGTGAGGATAAAGTAGGAAGCGATGCTGGTCCGATGCACTGATCAGCCGCCAAGCTGCTTTGCCTGCCCTCTCCCTGGAAGAAGGTCTAAGGAGGTGCTGACTGTGTGGTTGGTTGTTGTTGCAGTCCTGCTCTCCAGAAGAGCCTGGTTCACAGTGAACATGGCTGGCGTTAAGCATAGGCCTCCAGACTACGGAGCTTGTCCCTAGAACCAAAGTGATCGGAGGACAATAAGGAGGTCAGCAAATCCAGATGGCTCCACATCTTGGAAGTGCAGGGAGCTGCTGGAACGTTTAGTCTCCAGTACTCAAGGGTCTTGTTTATTCCCAGGATAGGGGTAAGGTGGGAGATGGGAGAGAACTACCAAGTGGGACGTGCCAGTTAATGAAAAGAAAAAAAATGTTACATGACTAAAGGCACCTAGCACTGTTGGTATGAGCAACTGCTGAGCTCGGCGAGAGCGGGGTCTGCAGAGTCCTCACTCGGGCTGCTCCTCTCTTGCCTCCCACCCACCCTCAGTGCCACTGGAGAGGTAGTTTGGTCCAAATGATCACAAATGAGGTCCAGTTGTTGCAGCCATAGTAAATGGAGATTTTTTTTTTTTTTTTTTTGTCTGAAATGGTGGGCATTCCATACACAAATTGAAATGCTATTTAGAAGGAATGATCTGGGGAGGAAGGGGACAGCACAATGATTTGTCTGTCCTAGCCTGATGGTTGGAGCAAATCCTGGCCGAGACAGCA